TTTGGGTTGACTTGTTGTTATTTTATTCTGCAGGATATTTTGGTACCGTAAATGGGGTTACTTTGACCGGCGGGGTAACTTTGACCACTTTTCGTTTGTTTAACAAAAACCCCAAAAACTCAAAAATGATTTGACATAGAAAAATTTTGTCAATGGCCATCAAAGGCCTAATACCGTAAAATGGGGTAACTTAGACCGACGGGGTAACTTAGACCACTTTTCGTTTTTTTTAACAATGTTGGGGGTCAGCCCCTCTAAAGGTCAACGGTCCGGCCGGTATAGTACCAGCACGTGAAGCCAAGCAAAACAAACTCAGGGAAAAAAACGGAGGAAGAACCAAGCAACATGTATTAAATATAATCAGTGGTACATGAAGGTGAAAGGTGCAAAATTAGTTGGTTAGTAATGAGACAGCCCAGGGCTATGAGTGATGGGGTGAACCTAGCATGTGAACATAAATAGCCAGCAGCCCAAACTGGTTTGAACAGTAAAGAATAAATAATAATACATGGTAAATAAACTAAACTGGGCCAGAATAATGATCAGTAGCATAAATCAAATCAAGAATAATGAAACCAAGGAATCAAGGGCTCAAAACGGGTCCTGGGTCAGGCCTGGTCCATCAAGTGGCGTCCGCACCAAAGAAACAAGACGGCGGTGGTCTTACTTGTGAGTAGCAGTGGGGTAGACTCAACTGGCACGTTAGGGCAGCTCTGACATGAGTTGCTGGACAGGACTTAAAGAGGCATCCACGCTGGCCTCTAGTGTCAGCTCGAGTAGCTCAAGAGCAGCCCAAGAATCGACTGCAGTGTGGCTCAGTGGGCCCGAAGCTTGCCTGTCACTCGTCCAGAACTGGCATCAAACTAGCTCAGAACTTGCCGGAATGCGCCCCAAATTGGCCCAGAATATGCCCCACATTGGCCGCTCTGCAAAAGTGCAGGAACAAGAACACATAAAACCTATCCAACAATAACACTTGGAAGTTGAAACACATAAGTACACTAGGAACACATAAGAACAAATTGATCTACCTAATGCAAAACTGTAAAACAACTTTAAGAGATCATTGATTATATGTACAAACATTTACTGATAACATTCAATAATTAAAATTTAGGACTGAGATGCGTGGTGAGAGTATTCCCCTTACTCACCTATTTAAAGAGCCAAGAAAAGCATTATCAGCAGTTCAGCAACAGGTCAGTCTTGATATCAGCATAGCCAGAAAGCAGGTTCATTTAATGCAGCAGGTTAGTCAGCAAAAGGCACTAGATCAGAGAAGCAAATCTGCCTTGGTCAATAACAACCCATGAAGAAGATGACTTGGCACAAAAATGACTTTAACTGGCTTTAGTATTCTGAATCAATCAAACATTCAAACACTGGGGACAAAAAGAGAGAATTAATTGAAAACACTTAATAAATCATTCATTTGCCTAAATGCAGCCCCTAACAACAAAAACCCCCACAACTCAAAAACTATTTGACATAGAAAAATTTTGTCAATGGGCATTAAAGGCCTAATACTGAGGCTACATAATACAATAGAAAGATTTGAAAAGTTTGCATATCTAATAGGTTAAAAAATTAAAAATGTGACCCACAAAAAAAAGCTATTATTTAAAGCCTGTCAGAGTACCCCCTCCAATTTTTTTATTTTTTGGTTAAATAACTTCAGGTTTTGATGCATTGTAGTAGAACTCTTCTAGTTACATATGCAAATGACAAATTTTAGGAAAGTGTCATAGTTTGCAAATGGGGGGTGCCGCCCCCCAATGGGGTAACTTAGACCACCTAATGTCAGCCGTGACAGGGTAACAGACCGGCTTGGAAGTTAATATAAAATTACCATATATAACATATTTTATGTTTGACAGCCTATTTAAGTTCTTTATTTATGTTTCAGACTCTACAGAGTCTTATATATTGTAATTTCAACTTAATTTTCAAGCCAGTCAATATTACCCCATCAGGGCTGCCATTAGGTAGTCACATTTCCCTCATAATGGGGCGGCGCCTCCCATTTGCAAACTATGACACTTTCCTCAAGTTTGTCATTTGCATATGTAACTAGAAGAGTTCTACTACAATGCACCAAAACCTGGAGTTACTTTACCAAAAAATATAATTGATTTTACCACCCGGTCTAAGTTACCCCAAGAGCTGGGGTAACAAAGACCATCACTTTTTTTGAAATTACATAAAGACTATGAGAGGCAGGAGTCAGCAATTTATGGTGAGTGAAGCTAGAGTATAGACCTGTATTTTGCATGTTTCAATTCAAGTTGAATTTAGCTAGTAAAAAAAATGGCATCATTTATAAAAACAAAAGTGGTCTAAGTTACCCCATTTTACGGTACTGAGGCTACATAACACAATAGAAAGATTTAAAAAGTTTGCATATCTAGTGGGTCAAAAAATTAATAATGTGACCCACAAAAAAGAGCTATTATTTGAAGCCTGTTGGAGTACCCCCTCCAATTTTTTTTTTTGGTAAAATAACTCCAGGTTTTGATGCATTGTAGTAGAACTCTTCTAGTTACATATGCAAAAGACAGATTTTAGGAATGTGTCATAGTGGCGCCGCCCCCCAATGGGGGAACTTTGACCACCTAATGGCAGCCATGATGGGGTAACATTGACCGGCTTGGAATTTAAGTTAAAATTACCATAGGTACCTATATAACATATTTTATGTTTGATACACCTATTAATGTTTTTTCTTTATGTTTGACTCTACAGAGTCTTATATATGGTAATTTTAACTTAATTTCCAAACCGGTCAATGTTAACCCGTCACGGCTGCCATTAGGTGGTCATATTTCGCTCATTGGGGGGCGGCACCCCCATTTGCAAACATGACACTTTCCTAAAATTTGTCTTTTGCATATGTAACTAGAAGAGCTTTACTACAATGCACCACAACCTGGAGTTATTTTACCAAAAAATAAAATTGATTCTACCACCTGGTCAAAGAAACCCCATGAGCTGGGGTAACAAAGACCATCACTTTTTTTTAAAATTACATAAAGACTATGAGAGGCAGGAGCCAGCAATTTATGGTGAGTAAAGCTAGAGTATAGACCTGTATTTTGCACGTTTCAATTTAAGTTTAACTTATCTAGTAAAAAAATTGCATCATTTTGAAAAAAAAGTGGTCAAAGTTACCCCATTTTACAGTATAAGTGTTGAAGTACTGCAGATTGCGGAAGTTGAAAATTTTATGGAACACCATGTTTGCGAGATGCAAAACATGAATTTTTCAATCAAACAAAAATACATGACATTAGAGCCTAAAGATTTTGTACCTATTGAAATTATGCAATATTAGAGCTGTGATATTTCAGGAAAAAATTAAGACTTTTCCAGTTCTGGTCAAGGTGTGGAAAAAACCTACTTACGAAGTTGCAAGCAAAACAAGATATAGAAAACAACTAGTAAGCAATTATCTGAAGATCTATGAGCAATAAATTTGCATTCAAATTTATGTCTTCAGAAGATTTTGCCAATGCATTTATCATTAAATGCCACTTTTATTTCCATTCTAGACTCGTCACGGCATGGACTCAATGGAGCCATAACTTGAGCTACCCCACTATTATTGGAACCGCAAGATTTCCCTTAGATGAATTACCTCAAATGTAGTTGTTGACACAAGTGTATGTTTGGGCCATGAGATTCCAAATGTGGAAAAATTTGTCACTTTGGAGCTGCTTTATTTCATCTCATTTTACTCCTCACAAATAATGCCACCACCAATAATAATAATAATAATAATAATAATAACGGTTTCAGCAGTTATTAGGCCATAGGCTTATTAGCAATTCTTAACATCGCAGAACATTAACAGCTTGTTGTGGTCTCAAACTCACAACTCACTGCTGTAAATTCTGCTGAGCTTAACAGCCCGGCCTCCTTTCCGATTCTGACCAGAAACTGGCACTCTAAAAGTCCCAAATGCTCTAAGGATGTATTATAAATGACTGTGTCACTGGTTCAAACTGAAGCTTTCCAAAATTTCTCATAGAATTATTAGTTTTGAACTCCTCTTTTTTATTTACTAGCCAATTTCTTGAATATATTTATGGCTTGGTCAAAAGTCATCAAATTTCTCATGTATATACTCCCTGAGCCAGCTGGCTTTCCAATTTGTACTCCTGACATTAAGCCTATTGTTCTCTCATTATCTTGACATGAAACCTATCAAATTCAATGGAGTTCAAAGGTAACAATAGATTTTTCTTTCCTGATTATCATGTAATTAAAGATAGAACTCATTTATTTTGTTAATGTTGATACAAAGTATAGTAAGCTTTTTTATTTGTCTAAACTGTTATCTATTTTATTGTTCATTTTTTTTATTAGCTCCTTTAGCATTTGTTCCTTCCAGTTGTTTCCACCCTAACTGGCACTAGAAATAATTTAAAGGCAAAGCAAATTAACAATTACCACATTATTTAATACAGTAACCAAACCAGCAAGATAATCAATTCAAAACTTACAAAAAAAAATTTTTAAGTTCTGCCATTCTAAGATTTATTCTTTTTTAGGTATAAATTTAATCTTCCTGTCCACATGCAATGTTTTAACATTTTTATGAATACTGTTGTACCCATAAGTATATGTTGGTATGATGTGTGGATTTTATTATAGAGTAGCTGAGCATGAAGGTTGGAGTGTAATCTACTTGTGCCACCACCATATTGCTCCCTGGTGTTATTCATTTTCATATTTAGAACTCTTGTCACACAGACCAATAGATATTCTCAAGCTTGAGCTTCCAGTTTCAGACCTGAGAATTTTTAGAACATTAGTTTAATTGTTAAAAAAATTTCAGCATTAGACTGGAGCAACAATCTTTTTATAAAATGTGGTCTGAACCATTTAAAATTTCCTTTTATGTTCAAGTTAATGTAGGTTTGTTGTAAAACCTGTGAAATTCATTTCGAGTTCTTTTGTACCTACGAAATTTATTTGTATCTCATTTGTTTCCTAAACAGGGATAGCACAGTGTTGTGAACTGTGCTGGCAGCTGCGTGGTGAAGCAGACAAGCGCCAAGTTGAAAACGTGAAAGTAGCTCTGCAGCATAACCTTGGACTTGGTGGAGCTGTGGTTGTTTCTCTTTACAAAATGCCACAGTTTGATGGAGAATCTAGGTAAATATCTGAAAATTTGAAATATTTGTTCAAGAAATTGTCACAATATTAATTAAAAATTGAGCATTTAAAATACCTTGTTCAATTTGTCTTGTTTAGTGCATAATGTTGATACAAATCTCAAGTTCTACATAACAGTCATGATTTATCATTAGTTTCTGACCAATTTACCACAGTTAAAGATTCCTAGTTAAGAGGAATATTGCATGAATTTTAACAACCTTATCACTATAGGAAAATTTAAATTCTTCAATTTATTGATTATTGTTGTAAAAATGTGAAAGAGCAATTATCTCAAATGTATCTGCTTTTCAATGTGATGCGAGGAGCATCTGTAGATATGATTGCATTATCACGGCTTGGCCTCTACTTGCATGCCAGGAGATTGTAGAGATAAGAACCTCATTGTAAGTATAGCCAAGGCTGCCTTAGTGACCACACTTACCAGATACAGCAGCATGGGTGCTCTAAAGTGAGCCTTCAAACAATTTCATGTCAATGTTTGCAATATTTTTTTTAACATCATGTTTCAAAATTATTTATTTCACTAGTTTTCACTAACAGTAATGAAAAACTCATGAAGACACATTAAAAATGGTATAAAAGTCAATTTTCTACAAACTGGAAACTAACAAGTATTCAACATTATTGCATTCAACCTGCAGTTGCCTCATATGCCTTTGTCACTGAAAGACTTGGCTGCTTAAGCAAGGATGGCAGCCGATTCTCTGGGTCCACTTGTCTTGTTCGTGCTCTTTCACAATATAGAAAACCTTGTTTTATTATAGAACTTGAGTATTGTGTAAATTTGTATAAAAATTTATTTTATAATAATGTTTTTTTTTTTCAGTGACAATGAGGACTTCAAAGCTGTGGAGGAGGTGTTTGAGGTGATGCGAGCAGCGCTGGAGCGCGATGGCAAGAATCTTGTGAAAAAGGTCAGTCATATTAACACGTTGACTACAATTGCTTCATCTTGTACAATTATTTCATTTTTTGTACTTTTTTTATGCAGGGTTGCCAGACGGTCATTTTTTCCGGACAAATTCCGTGATATAGTTTTCTTAATTGCGTTGGCTGGCTAAAATTTATGATAGGGGTACTTCCTAATTAAATTTTAAATACTGAAAAAGAAAATAAATGGAATTTTTATAGTGGAACCTACAAATAAAGTAGTATACATTGAATTATCGGCCTTTTTTGTTCTCGGATTTGGCCGATTTTAGGCAACCTGAATTATGTACCACTACCTCCTGGAGAAATACATTTCATGGTACGCATATGTACCAATACGTAGTCAACGTGTTAAGTAACCAATGACTGTTAAATATTATTATTTTAGTCAACTTTTCATCTTATGTGTATTCTTTACTCTCTCTGGTACCTCTTTTTGACTTGAAATTCATGCTCAATCTGTAGTCAGATTTTTTATAACACTCTGGAATAACCACAAGCTAAAATGTAACTCCCCCTAGATCATGGCATATTTACATGGAAGCTATATTGCCTTGGTCTGTCATTGTCAAATTGTCTTGCATTTGGCAAATTACCATATTAGTTCCTGGGGACAGAGTTTGTTGAAGTGCTCATAGACAGTCAAGGTGGACTGAAAGACACATTGAAGCGCTAGTGAATACTTAATTATGTTATGGACACGTGACAAAACAAAATGACTAAGCAAGGCTCTAGCTCCAGCCAGCAAAGGTGTTGCTCGAAAGGCTGGGTGGTGACTGACTTGTCAGTGCTGAAGGCATTGCATAGAACTGCAGGTGTGACATACGCAATCAATGTAGGAGCTGAAAGAGGTGACATAAATTGGTAGGTCAGTGCTGGATACCGTAGTAATTTATGATTATTCTACAGGCTAACGGCATCTTTAAATTTGTGGTCACAAAACCTAGTGGAGGAGAAGAGACTTGGATTGTTGATGTCAAAAATGGCTCTGGAAGTGTCACCCGAGGAGGTTCAGGTAAGCTAATAAAATCTTAAATAATTTCCTAGTCTAAAGCAAGTATATTTCCTGCTTATATTTGAAGATTTTTCCTGGTAATGTTACTTCCATGCAGCAATCGGTTATCTTGCTCATTACAATGAAATAGGTTTGTTCCTAAATTTAGTTTGTGACATTTTGCTAAGTTAGAGCATTTAGTTGTTTCAATGGAGATTATTAAACCGTTTGATGCAGACAATGGTAACATGCTTATTCTTTAACTAGTAGTCATTAACAAGGATAAAAATATTATAATAAAGACCTAATTAAGTACAAACAAATTCAATAAGAATTCATATTGATTGTGTTATGAGTGGGTTAGTAGGAGCCTAGAGATCGTTGTTACGTGAATAAATGGCAATGCGAGTGAGTTATGATATAAGTGAAGATGTGGTAGTATGAGGGAATTGTTTTATGTGTGGGGAATGGTAGTGTGGGGAGTTATGGTGTCAGTGAAGATGTGGTAGTGTGAGGGAATTGCTTTGTGTGTGGGGGAGTTATGGTGTCATTGGCGGGTGAAGAAAAAAATTAAATGACAATGCTATATCCTAGCTCAAACTGCAGTGTCCTGACGAGTGAATGTGTGGAGAGAGACACTTATGTAAGAATGTATGTGTGGAGCGAGACACTCGTGTAAAAATGTATGTGTGGAGAGAGACACTCGTGTAAAAATGTATGTGTGGAGAGAGACACTTTGGTAAAAGTGTATGTGTGAAGAGAGACACTCGTGTAAAAATGTATGTGTGGAGAGAGACACTCGTGTAGAAATGTGTGTGTGGAGAGAGACACTCGTGTAAAAATGTATGTGTGGAGAGACACAGTCGTATAAGAATGTATGCCGCGAACAATCTGTTTTGACAGGCACAAGTGACGTGACCATCACCATGGCCGACTCTGACCTCCTGAAGCTGCTGCACGGGAAGCTGAACGCTCAGAAGGCTTTCTTCATGGGACTCTTGAAGATCAAAGGAAATATGGGCCTCGCCATGAAACTGCCCGACTTCCTCAAGGATGCTCAGAGTATCAAGGCTAAACTTTAAGACACGTTATTTTTCAATAGAGGCATCTTGTTCCTGCTTCGTGGTGCAATAAAATTTTGTGGCAACTGAGCTTATTTATATATTGTTTTGATTGATATCTTTCTGATGAAACACTGTTAAACTTTTGAAAAGTACGGTACTTGATTTTTTTATTCTATGTAATGTTTGGAATTTTCCGACGAGGAGTTTTAATGTCAATCTTAGTGGGGTATTGAGATATTTGCCATTGTATAACCAAACTTCTATTTCTGTTGTACGCGAAAAATTATTTCCACGATTTACATTTGGGCCTGCATTACTTCTAATGTAGCGTCAGAGTAAAGTTTAAATTTTTGTGCTTTCATTCATCTTTAACAGGCCAGGTAGTGAGAAAATTTTTTAATTTATTTGTCCCGGCAATTATCCAACCAGAAACATAACCAGAAAAAAACTCATCGCAAAAAATTTCAAACATCCAGACTTCATTTATTAAAATAGTTTGGAAATTTATTTAGTGAATAGTTTTGATTTGTGTTCTCCTGGAAACTTCATCTTCCGTGTAACTTTCTAACCAAAAAACATTAAACTTTAGCAATTATTGTATTGTTACAATGTTCGTGGGATGAAAGTAAATGTTGAGGTAACCATGGTGTCTACTGGTATATAGAGCTTCTATAATATATTTTTATACTGAAGTCCACTGCATCTTGCAAGAGTATATTTTAGCTATGTGTGATTGGTGAGTAAATCATATCATTGTTTAAATTATCTGGTGTTCTATAACAACACTAGGGTTTGTTTGTATAAGTAAATAGTTTTTATTTAATTTTTAATTGACGCCTGCCTCAAAAATGACACTGTATTTTGGGTCGCATGTGGACTGTTTTTATTAAAGGACTAATACGTCTTTAGTCCTCTTGCTCCATCTTGTAGTTTGTAAGCGCATCTTATTTTTCCAGGATTTTAAGACTTCATTCAGGTAGATTAAATTCATGGATTGATGCTAAATATTGTGTCCTTATTCGCGTGAAAATTTGTATTCTGATTTGCCTTCACGTTATATTACTGCTCTCCATGCACAAAAGTCACGTGCTGTGAGCTTGCATTGCGTCAGCTCTTGAAACTTGTTTACTCTTTTGAAATCATTATTTACTCTTTCATCCTGGACTCCTTACCTTGACCGGGAGTAACTCTCTAAACTGAAAGAGTCTTCAATTCTTCAAAAGGTGCACCCTTTGTGCCGTATCTATGGGGATTAGGAATTTTTAATTGGGGAGTATATGTTTGGTGGGAATTCAGAACTTTGTTGTACACTTGTTGCTTTACATTAAAAAATTAATCAGTGTTGGTTTGAATTCCACCTGAAGAATTTCAAAATATAAATTAGATTTACATTTCTCAGTGAATTTCAGCTTATTCATATTTATATAATTACCTCAAGCGGAAAAAACCTGGAAAAATAATAAATGAGTGATACATTTGATGCGAGGTTTCGTTTAAGATTATATAAAACTTGATGTGGTCGACTGTTCAGATTACGCAATTAAGTGTAATTCTACACAAATTTCACCTGAGCGTAATGGTGATAATTTCAATTTCCGCGCACGGTATATCATGAACGCATCTCAAAGTAAAAAAAAGGTGGGTTTGATGAAACTCAATTAATTCAATGGTTTATTAGGTATCTATTGGCCACTGAGATCTTGTAGCTGTCGGCATGAACATCACTACAACAACGCTAGCCGACCACAACTGAGGCCAATTTACAATATGAAGGAAAGAATAGATTAGCATAGTGAAGGTTGGGTTCTCACCTCATGCAATGCCCCATATATTGATAACCACACACTGGCATGCACGAAGTTCACTTCTGCAACGATGGAGGAAATAATGTCCCGTCTCAAGCTTATCCCCAAAACTATCTATCGAAGTCCAACGTATTTGCTTCAAACATATGTGTTACTGTGATGTATCGGCAAGATGAGAGCATCGAGCAGCATTGACTGATCAACTCTCGTGACTTGTGTTGCACAATATTCCGGTAGAAAAATTGAGAGAAAGCAGTTATAGGTACCGAAAGCAAGATGTATGCCACAAAAATGGCTCTAGTCCGTCAATTTGTGTGAAGCTCGGCTTGTAGTCGTTGCCCAGAACGGGGATCGCATTCTCATACAAAAATAATTTAAAACTAACAAATGGAATCAAACATTCGGTATTAAAAGTTGTCTATTTGAATTTAGTTAAAGCCTGAATTCCAGAACAAAGAAATTAATTCGCATTCAATAACTATAGTTCACTAATTACTTCAATTCATTTCTGGACAGTTTCACGGAAAAACTCCGCGCAAGAGAGGGAAGGGCTATAAATAGCGTTGAGTTATCGAAGCACTGAACGGCGACTGGAAAGGTATCCATGCAAGAGGTATATTATCTTTATCGTTAGCCATTCGCATCATTACTGATTATATGAATTTTAAATTTTAGATTAGCAGGAGTTCTTTACTCTGAGCTAATTTACAAAGATTATATGGAGGAGCTGTGCTCGGTTACAACTTGTCTGTTGCTACCCAACAGCATACCCGTCGTTCTGCCTTGCCTTGAAACCTACAATGCACTCCGACACTCGTAATTCTATTCTAATATACAAGCAGGGAGCAATGGGAATTACACTTATCACTGGTTTTAGCCAATCTTACTTTATTCTGCATTGGGAGAACAATTGCGAAGTAAACAGGGAAAAGTTTCCGACCTCCAGCAAATTGAGATGTTGAAGTGATTAAACCAAAGTTTTCTTTAATTAATACGGGATCACCAGTTATTTCTAACAGACAAGCTACAGGAGAAGAAGTGAGGCGCCTGAATATTTGAGAGAATGACATTCAAAGAAGTATCTTTATTTGGTTGCGTCGATCTTGAGGTTGGCATTCATTAAGTTTATTGTAAGACTTTCTTGGGTTTTATTATTTGTGGTAGAAAAATGATGCGTGATTAGAATCCATCATAAAAATTAGTGTGAATATTAACTTTATACGTCAATTCTAGTCATATTATAGCGGTGATTCATCAAAGATCAAATTCCGAGTTAGAAACTACATTACGTTATCATTTACAGTGAAATTTTTCTGCCATGATAGCTGCAACATTTTTATCTGACAGCTATCGGGTGCTGAAAATGTTTATGCTCAACTCCAATCTACCGCGAAGAATAATTCGTTTATTCACGCTTCATTCTGTATTGTTCTGGCTTCATCAAACCCATAATTACAACGGCAATCAAGTGTCGGCAAGTTGTGAGTGACATATGCTTATTTGCTGCAACTCAAATGAAAAAATTTTCAGTGTTCTGCAGTAATTCTCATTATTAAAGCTAAATTATTTGTATTAACGTACAACAAATGGACTTAGCTCTAGATCTAGATTTGTGCTCCAGAAACTGGAAAGAAAAATTAAGATTAAAAAAGAAATATGAAAAAGTTGTACGTTTTAAGTAAAGAGGGTTAAGATTTAATTTTGTTATGGAGTATCTACTTATTTCTAGATAAATATTATCCGATCTTTAAGGCCAAGTCATAAGGGTTGACGGACGACTCGACTCGCACCTTGTATAAGGATACAAACGAGTAACTTACTCCCACTTGTGTGAGCTCTTGACCTACGACACATGTGTGTTGTACATACATCTTCAATATTACTATACAAACCAATATTATACAGACCATCTCACGTACAAACAAAATTTAGCTCAGAGCTATTTCCTAATAAGAAATCTATGTAAGAAGAATGATAACAAATTTATAAACATGTTTAGTGACCTCAAGCACTGGTCGTTCAGTCAACAATTTTCGTACATTTCCCTATCTCTCCTTCGATCAACTCAGTAATTCGTATATAACACAGATGATTGCAGTCTAATGAATCACTGAACCAACTCGAGAACCCCAGCATGCATCTGTCTTTCCTAGCGCACCTCAACAAACTCCTGTGCCAATCACTCTGGCGACAGGCACTACTTGATCAACTTATTCGAGAAACCCCACAGAAATGGAACATAGAAATTCGTTACATTATTGTATATGTAAAACGCAACTGAGCACAACTTCTATAGGATTATATTAGTACAGGGTATTTGTGGTAAGAATGGTCCGTCAGGTGTTGGCGGCGAATAATTTATTTGCGGCATCCGCGAATTTATCAACAACTCTACTATAGTTCCGTTAGAGGCACGGTACTCAGAAAATTTACACGAGAATACATGCTATTGTCATACATGAAGAATGAGCTCCGGGTTATTACGTGGCATGCAATCTGAGACTCCACTTGGTCGTGGTGAAATAGAACAGTCATACATTCCAGATACATTGCAGCGACAAAAAATTTTGCAAACATCAATTGATGACCCAGATGTCATCAATCATGACATTTGGGCCTACTCAATATTGTATTTACAATAATAGCTGGAGTTCTGATTTTTTCATTGTCATGTTGACAATCTTAGCATCTATAACTGCGCCTCACTTGACTTAGCTTTTAGTTAACTCGCAGAGACAGTTTTCGTCATTTTCCATTTTGCTTGTGGAAGAATCCAGAGATCATGTGTTAAGTGTGATGAGGAGAATTCGAGTTTAGAAGAAACACACGAGATTGAATTGAACTATGATAAATACATACAAACAACGTAATTTCATGCTTTAAAAGAACCCTCCTAGTTTACCGCCAAAGCCCTTGCTGAAACCTCCTAAAACGTTGCCCACCTTGCCGGCCACGTTGCCAGCCACGTTTGACACCTGTCGAAAAGAAATTATTTTTTTTTTCAGTTTTCATTCCAAATATAATCTCAGTACCGCGAAATAATTTGACCGTAGGATTTCGGAGATTACTTTACGGTTCCAAACCAAATGCAATCGAAATTATTCAACCCTCTACCGCCTCATGTCATTCTCCGGGATCATAACTTTAAACTTAAATACGACGTAGACTATTGAGTGTAGCAACCTGAGGACGTTTGTACGCAACAGAGAACATTGTAAAGTTGTCCGTGGCGGCAATCATCAGTGCAAGTCATTTTGCGCTCACTATAGCAACGTATCCTTTTTTGGGAAGTAGGCTTGTAAAAATATTGCTCAGGTTACTCATGTCAGGCGGTAAAAGGTTAATATTAAATCGACAGAGCAGTATTATTACAATAATTCTTCAATAGTAATCTATAATTGGAAAGTCTATTATACTTCAATACTAATTATGAGTGAAGTTTTTAATCTTGAATTTCCTAGCTTTCTCTACCACTGAATTAATTTATTGCATAGTATTTTCGTATTGATTATTTGAGATTGCTTCAGTTTCGCTCATATTTAATGGAAAACCGGTGTCCTAAATGTCTATGCATACGAAAAATATACTCAAATCTTCGCGTGGATTCAATGCCTCACCTCGGCTCTGACGTTGGCCACTACATTGGCAGGGTCCTCGGAGAGCGTGTGGCTGAGCTGTGATGCCACTTTGCTCTTCATTTTTGGTTCTGCAGCGCCGCCTTCTTCGTCCAAAGCGCCTTCAGTCAACTCACTTGCACGAGAGATTAAAATAATAAGAATTAAGCTCTAATCTACTTTGTATTCGTAAGATTTCATGCGGGTACAACTCAATATTCACTTGAGTGATGGGCCAGCCAGAAATCTGCAGATCCAAAAATGAATTCAACATTGGAAAATAATGAGCGATAAAAATGTGAATATTAAACTCTAAGAAGACTCAACAAGACGCTGCATGAGTCTTTGAGCCGAACTGAAATGTCATGCCTCAGAAAACTAAGATACACCATAGAGCGTTCTAGTGCAAATTATTATTATTGTTATTAATATGCAAAAAACGCTGTAGTTTGTTCAAATATAATTTTTGAAGTTGCGTCAAAAGGTCGTGTCAACCTACAAAGTTGGAATCTCTTAGAATCATTTAATAAAAGAGTTCATGAAAATGAAGAAAAAACGTAGCAAGTTGAGTTCTCAACACGAACCTAATCTAATTTCTCGGCCGAAATTTGTATCGATCTCTGCTTTAACTACTAATATAATTACGGCGAACAATTCTTCGGCGTGCTAAACGATTTCTTTATTCATTCATCAACATTTCGTGACACAACCTTTGAGTATTTACAAGATCATTTTGCAGAGCAAAAAATTCGAAAGCATGCAACGAGGCGAGTTGTCTCTCGCGAGCTGATCATTCCATTTCCAGTCATCCACTTTTCTTCATCCGCGCAAAAATTCAAACTGTTAATTAATTTCGTAAGGAATTTTATAGAATCGCAAATAGAGAGCCATAACTTCAACTTGTTAGCCTAATAAATAGAACGAAATTACATTTTAGGTAAAAAATTCAATTCATCAACAACGTAAAAGGTATTTTTAGAATCAAGTTATTGCGAAGACAACATATATACCGCTAGAAATGGAGCGAGCAATTTCAATTGAAACAAACTTCGGACGTATTGAGCATCCATTTAGCAGTTGACAGATATTCGCGACTTTTTCTCAGGTCAAGTTGAGTTTTAAAAAAAATTGTATTACATAAAATTGTTCTAGATCACATGGATAAACGCGAAGTAAATACAGCTCGCATAATCACAAATTAGCTTGAAACGTAAAGCCGCGTCTCTGATCGAAAAAAAACTGAGGTGGGCGTGCAATCCGGATAAATGCTTGGCTGCCAAACGCATGCGCGTGTGCAAATTCTGCAAAAAATGCAGTTCTGGAGTGTCGTACCGTCAACTGCATACATTTTCTATGATACTAAATCTAAAAATAAATTCAAATTTTGAATAATAAAAGAATGCATAAGCTTAGAAAATCGTCGATAGGCGATGCAGTGCAGGAAATTCATCATATCATGTACTCACTGAATGTCGTCATCATCGGCTCCACTAAAGTCGCAAAGAACGGGACATGTTTCATCTCACTGTCTTGCTCACATTTTGTGGCGGTAAGAAAAATGATCCTGTCCTGACGTATTCAGTAGGCATTACAAGGCATTATTTTGTGCCGCTAAAAATAGAGCTGAAATTTTGTAAAAGAGACGGTACCTTGAAAACTAATCTTGTATCATTAGGCTTGACTTGGTACGCGAATCCACCTGCGATACGTATGAATGATTTCGTGCGTAGAAATTCGCTTGAAATGCTATTTGATGTTCATGCGATTGTAGTCAGAAAAAGCTCTTAAATGTTGGCGCCCGATAAATTTTTTGTATTCGGTCTAACCTTTAGTGAGTATGAATATGCGATGGCCTTATTTTAAAAGGAATTAGGAAAGATAGTAGATATTTTTGGTATGGATGCCAAAGCATTAAATATTTATAAACACGTTAATGGTGCATGAGGCGAACTGAAACTCACTCGTCGTCCCCTCGATGTCCATCGATCAAAACACAGGCTGCCTCCTCTGTGGTCATGCGTTGGCTGATCGTTTGGAAGCTCTTCGTGTTGAGCTTTTCTTCTTCGATCCCGTTAAGCTCGAAGTCAGAGTACATTTTCTGAAAATAGAAAGGCTTTCAGGCAGAATGCCATGATCGCAATTTTGGTCGGAATTTAACTAAAACTGAAATTTAAAGATTTGGAAAAATGTCAAACATAATTTTCACTTAAGCATTTCAAATTAATTTATAGATGCGGTGATATTAATTATACGTTCGTTGAAGACGAAGCATTTAAAAGAGACAGATGAATTAAATTACAATTGAACAAGGAAATTCGAGCCTCATTTCACATTTTCAGCACGATCGTTGCTTGACCAAAATCAATTCGCAGGAAGTATAATAAAATTCGTGTCAATTTATCATTGCAACAATAATATAAATGTACGTCTTACCTTGCACGTAGTTCGGAAAGTGTTGAATTGGGGACGGGATACACTAGCAGTGGGCAAGAACCTACGAACTGATACTATTAAAATGCATTCACGAGTTCATATGTAGTTGCAGGGGAGTTTGCTAAATTGGTTACAATTGCAAAATACAAAAGAGTGCACAAACTCAGCGTTGTGCGCAAACTTCTTTGAAGGTTCCACAATAATTTTAGAATAGGGAGGTGCAAGAACAAAAGGTTTTGAAAAACTCCGGAGGATTAAAGTTAAATTCGTTTCACTACGAGCTACATATCTACCAGTTACGTCAGCCATGTGAAGGTGTGATGAAATTTTCAGCGTCGGGCAAAGCAATTTGTGAATCTAAGAAAATTGATACGAAAAATAATTTTGCAATTTCATGCAAAGGATAAAATAATTTTTCATAAAAGTAATGTGATTAAGCAAAATGCATGGTTAATAGTTGATTATATCATACATCTGTGAATTTCGATGGCAACGCTAATCGAGGGTTTGCCAGAATTAGCCTGTGGAACGCACTACTCGTAAGTTTTCAATGTAAGTGCAAATGCGCTCAATCATGTCCAATAAAGTGGCACTTTATTATTTTTCTGATTACAAAACACTTAATATTCTCGGTATTCTACTTTCAACATTTCTTATGAAGGTGCAATATGTCAATTGCTTAATGTAGAAATATGCAAGGAATGACACCAAATTTTAAAGCTCATCATTATTTTCGCAACTCAATCAAGAGTGGCTTTGACATCAAGTATCTTGAGGGGCATCAGCCCAAATATTCTATTCCTGCATAGAGATGAAATTTTTAGCTTAGAGTGTGCAGTATTTACTAGGAATATAACATCAGTTTTCTTAAGTAACAATCTTCATGTCCAAATATTTGCACAAATATGTCCGTTTCACTTGAAGGAAAATAAGACTACTTATTTGACACAATGTCACAGCTCTTGTAATACAAGTAAGCATTGAGGGAGATCGTGATGGAAAACTGAACATTCTGAGATGGTTCCAAGGCAAAATTTGATAGCATGCGGGCAAATTCAAGTGAAAAGGCTACATTGTATAAAAAACATGCGGAAGAGGCACAGCAATACCCATTAGAGTGAGGTTCGCGTTCATAATAAGTGTTGTTGGCTTAACTCTAATCAATAATGAAAGATTGTAATTGTAGCACGATAATCAACGTTTTTTTCTTTTTGTTTCTTGTAGCATTAGTTGAATCACTATAGAAGATGACCGTGGACTGATTAACAAGAAGCCTTTCCTTATGGACGATGTTCATACGAGAACCAGATTTTATTAGCGTTATCCCTATTTTGGCGGGTATAGAGCCATAATAAACTGAGGACATTTGGCTTTTTTTAGTAATCTTTTTATTTTTGAATCCTCATCAGCCATGATTGAAATTAGATTTCAAATTGATTTTCTAGATACAAGTATTTGGATTGTTAACACTTTCTTACTTTGAGGACATATTATCGTTTAGTCATTGTCATATTCCTTATATGTATTTTATATTGAAGGTTTTATTTAACCAAGAACAACGACATGTTCACTAAGGCAAACAATTCAAATTAGGAAAACATGAACGAGAAATGTTAGCGATAAATTACTAAGTTTGACCTGAGAAGGTCGGAGAAATGGAGAGGGGAGGGTAAGGTTGCGTGTGGAAAGGGTCGATATACTGGAAATATGTGAAGTTGATTTGGTGAAGTAAACTCTGTCGAAACTACATGCGGGCGCATCTTGTTTCGCTACACTAAAATCAAACAGTTTGTACACACGGAGAACTGTACGTTTATAGTAAAGTACTCGAGTTTAGTTTATTTTTAAATTAATACTGTATTTCGACCGGTTTGGGGAAAACTAATTTAATGGTCTTTTTCCTAATCGCGTGGATAGCGGGAAGTTTTTTTTTTTCTAAAGTATTCCAAGGAGATGATCTCGAACAAAATCAATTATCGGTTTGCGTGTCTATGTGACCATCTAAATAATTGACGACTTGATGACAACTTGTGCGGTCGAAGACTCCATGAAAGCCCAAGAACATCGCACGTGGGACTTGCATATCAATACAGTTCTCGTCTAATTCATTTGAGGCAGGGCTCCTGATCGTACAAGTCGCTGCACTTCTGAGTTTATCCTTCTGCTGACCACTTGATAAGCCTGCACTCCAGTCTGCTCGGGGGCCAGACCGTAGGCACAGTAATCGGAGTATATGAGCTGCAAGGAGAGACAATCCCGGGGTGAGTGTGGAACGCGGAGACGAGGGTTGCTTCGAGTAACCAATCGCATGGGCCTACTGGCGCAATATCAACATTACGAGCCGGCAAAATGTTGCTTATGTAGTGACCCGTGAGACTGATTACTCGAAGCGTTGTAGCTTCAGAAGGAGAGATCACTCAGAAGGAAAAGGAGCATAGATGAACTAGGATGAATTAGAGAAGGAGTAGAGAAGGAAGTTATGGCCAGAAAAATATAGATTTGTCATGTGATATGTGATTTGAATTAGGTGTCAGAGAAACTGTGCCAGAGCAAAACAGGTCCAAGTCAAACGATGCGTTCTTTTTCGTGATCATCGAACTATTATAACTAAAGCCGAACTTTGAAAGCCAATAGAAGGAATTGAAATAGAACAACTTCGAACATTGCAAGATAATTATCAAGATAGCTCAAATTTCTGGTTAGTTCAACTCGAATTCAATAAAAATCGTAACTTCAAATTATCACCAATGTCTGATTCAAATTGTGCTTTTAGCAAGGATTTTAGTAGGTAGCATACATTTTTCTTTTGTTAAATATATTCGATTCAAGATGCAGGCACAAAAGCAATTATATATATCGATTTTTAGAGTTGAGGTAGTTCAGCCTGGACGAATTTTCACACTACGAATATATCCATCTTTATACTCATGTTCCATTTTAGCAGCTATTTACGTACTTGAGATTCAAACCTATTTTTTAAGTGAATCGCACGGCGTAGAGATATTCCAACGCGATATTGGAGGAAAGCTCAACTGGTTGATTAGCAGCATTTTTGGTTGCATGAATACGATTTTTATGCACACCAAATTATCATCAGCAGAAACGCTTTTAAAATTCATCGTTCTCAAACTTGAGCCTATTTCATTCAAAAGGCAAAAGATGTGAATTTTTATTAATTGTGAAGAAGATGTGATGAGAAGGAAAGATAAAAATGCAACTGCAAGGTCAAGACAAGTAAGCAGGCTAAAGCATGTGGTCACATCTGACACAACGCGGGATAAAGCACAATAATAAATTGCACGAGGAGAAAACTGAAAAATAAATATCAGGCAGTGCATCACATTCTTAGTGTCGCATGAAAAATATTTCGCATCACTGAATAGACAATGCAATCTACTTGATCAAAAATTCAAAGTTTTGAGTGATGACTGCAAAAATGGACCGTTTGCAAGCTGAAGCTATAGTCACGTGCTAAGGATGCAAGGCTGTAATTAAGTGGGTACTGCAACGTGTGAGTATGACGTGTGACTCACCAATGCTGTCATAACAGAGCCATGACCTCAAAAAATTGCACTAGTTTCTAGCGGCTCTAAGATATCAATTCTAGGTAGCAAATGCAATCACAAGTGTTATCTATCTACTTATGGAAGAACAAAGAAATGCAGGTGTAACTTACATGGCTGGAACTCCTGGAAACGCTCACCTTACAGTCATATTAGTTATCTCTGGGTGACAAGCAACATTTTTCCCTCTAAATGAATATTTGCATCGAGTATGTGAGTTAGACCACAAGATTCATTATATTTTTATTAACTTGGGGCAGAAGAATGCCAAATATTGTGTAATGAGCGAGCTTTAATGCGTAAACGATTATTTCTCAAATCGCAAAATGACGACTTAACAAATAGATCTATTAGGGTATTGAGTCGCTCTGAAATTCATAATATAATAATCAAGCACGATCACTTGAACTTTTATATAAAATTGTTGTTATATATCATGTATAACAACAACTTGCCCCCCCCCCTTAGCTAGTGAAAATTAATGTGTCTAGTCTGAATTCTGTTATCAAGTTTCGTCTCAACTAGTTATTGAGGGTAATTTTCTAGGATCAATCACGATAGGTGAGGCTTCATTTGTTCGGAATGACTTACCTAAAATGGACAGGTGACGCAGGATGTTGTTCTCTAATAACGAAGGACGTACATTATGTGGGGTGAAGGAAATACTCACCTTGACGATGTGTGCTAGGCAGGTACACTGGTACGGATGGAGGTTATGGTCCAGTCTTTCACTCAGCCAGCTGCATAGCATCTGCACTTGGCCTGAGTACCATTGCTGCAATAAACAAAAAATCGCATTGTTGTTTTAATAAATTCCAATAATGCTGATGAAAAGTTTTTTTTCATGGTTCTCAAAAATACCATACTGCGATAACAATATCATCGTAATTGTTCAATATGTATATATTATCAACATTACACAAATTTCTCTGTTTAAGAAGAGGGACAATGAAGTGAAACGTGTAAAGAGAGTTCAAGTTGCAAACTTCGTTTAAGGCGGCGGTGTGAAGGTAGGTTGAAGTGAGTAAAATTTACTGATAAAATATTTTCTGTTTGCTTGAGGAACACAGTAGAAGAAGTGGCAAGTCTCAAATTTGGTAGCGTGGTAAATTTTGGAAAAAAATCCCATGCATCACAAATTTAGGGCAAAGGCCTCAAATGGCCAGTGACCACTTTCAAAGAAATGGGCGGAAATTAGTCCAAATAGCGATGAATTTATGCCCGTATGTAGGTCATCCTGAACCAGCCTGCCCTGGTAAAAGGAAGCACCAGTGCTACGTCCGCTCTCTGACGGTTCTGTGCTTAAGAGATTGTACCACTATGTGGACAATGACCCATTCATAATACCGAGTGCAGGAACGTAGAGGGGCTAGGTTATACTGCAACAAAAATAACGGTGCGAGTATTAGAGGTCGTTTAACTGGGACGGCGGACGATTGTACGACTGTGACAATCAATGTAAGTGCTGCGAATCCTGCTGTCAATGTATTAACTTTGCCTAACAATTGAGACTTTCTGTCACGACCGCTTAAGATCAACGTATATGAGAACACGCGCTAAAATACGTACGCTGTCTGAGGCGCAATTGTAAACAGATGTCCAGTTAGGGGAACGACTGATGATAAATGGCCGGATGAACCAACGATATCGTAAATATGTATGAACATCAGACGTCGAAAGAACTCACCTCGAGAAGATTAAGTATCCATAATTCGTCGTTGACTTTTTGTCTAATTTGGTCCATAGAATTGCGCATAAAGTTGATGTACGCCTTGCCCAGCTCTCGGCCAGACCCGCTCACATTCTGTCGATACTGACATTTGCTGTTACATCTTTTAGAGCCGTTTCTTTTTCTATGATCTTTGGGATTACATGTTTATCAAATTAAACATATTCCTCAAATTATTTGCACATATAGTAGATGATGCAAACTGAAATCGAGGTATTATCATTCAGCATTATCGTTTTGCAACTAAAAAACTTCAAACAATACACGAAGTAAAATGTATGAGACAAATGTTTCACACGATACCTCCGAACGTATGATGTAAGTTAATTAGGTAAAAAATCAAAACCATAATATATCAAATCATTAGAGTGAAATTGAACTGTTAAATTTCAGTAAATCCACACAGTAACATCCGAGGGCATGTAGTCTACGGTTCCTAAGATACGTAAGACTGCAAAATATAGGTAATATGGAAGTCATTCATGTCTCCGCACGAAAGGAATCCTAACTAAGAGTTATGCCTGCAGAAATAAGATAACTAGACCTGCATGTGGTCATTTCTATAAAAGTTAGCCCGAGAAACATGCTACAAACGAACGATGACTCACGGTGAACGAGAGGATGGAACCTATGAAGGAGCCTTCGTCGTAGCGCCCAAGTTTGGACAGTACGGACTCCAGCACACTGAGCAGCTTGCCTACCATTCCTTGCGTCATCCCAGTGCTTGTGCGCTCGATCAGGTCGTCGATTTTGGTGTGGTATTGGTGCTAGGGAGAGTTTATGTCATCATTAATTTGCAAATTATTGTCCACGAGATTATCTAGTAGGGTAGAGGATCTCACATCATCGTCATCTACCTATGATGCACATCACCGGCAAAATGCAACCTTTGTTTTGAATACTTGTTGTAATTACGTCGGATCTTCATCAAATGTCTGCATTTAATGTCTAGCGTAGCACTAATTACAGTATCTTCACACGATTCGAGAATAACCCACTAGTGACTCAGAAATTTTAATAAGTTCGAACATTATTATGTGTTTTGTATCGAACTCCAACTATTTATATTGCCAATTAAATAGGTTGAAGCTGGGTTATAATTCACTGTAACGGATAGAAATTTAAACTTCAAATGATTTGATCTTCGAAGAATTTCAGTCCTTACACCTTTTCCATCAAACATCTTAAAGCACCTGACATCCGATACGTACAGTAACAAATCAGACGTGCAAGAAATACTAAGAATAAGGAAGTAACTGACCACGTCGACGCCGTCTACGGCACAGAGCTTGAAGGATTGGTTCTTGGCGTCAAGAATGACGTTGACCATCGCGCACATCTCGGCAGGCAGCACGTAGTCGGTAGACACAAATCCTGTACTCTTTTTAAGCCATTGCTGGAAGGCGTTGTCCGTGCGTGTGATGCACGACTCAATCATGTCACATGCCATCAACTGTCGAAAAAAATTACCTCAATAAGTATACAATAAATTGATATGAAAATCAGACACGCTTTTATGGCGATAAATGTCCGAATTCTCTGTAGCTCAAGTTTATTCTGATAATTGCAATCGCGTCTCATTTCTATCAGCATAATGTCGTACTTTTATACATGTGAGCTCATTTTGATGGAATATTTCTCGATTCGAGTTTTTAAGGATTGTTCATGCAGACGGTACCTTGAGTCTTTGTTCCAAGTGTTTGGCAAAGTCGATGTCAGGCCAATGGAGGTCGTGAATGAAGGACTGCAACGCATCTAGCTTCCAGAAAAGATCTTCTGAAGTGGCACAGCCATTTCTGAGTTTTGGAGGAAAATCGTGATATTGGGCAAAACAAATTTGTATTTGAATTTTGTTTGTAGGTTGCGACACAACGCAAAATCGAAATTAATGCCAAACTTCTTCTACCTATTAGCATCGATAGAATAAAAACTCCATGCAGCAGCGTAACAGGGAGAAAGAAAACAATTCCCTTAGCAAATTGAATAACTTGAAACGAAGTTCTCCTGTGCAGACAAACGTGGACAACAATTTGTAGTCCAAGTGCCACTTTCAAATGAAAAATCAATCATTTGATTATTTTCCATTAGACAAAATAAATGAGAATAAACTTGCACAACCACTAAACAAAGCAGGAGGACACGGTAGCTCCATCACAGACATTAGTGAAAGAGCAGATTCTAATTTCTCTATAAGAATATTAATGATCATAGAAAGAACGCAACGCTCGTACCACAGCCTATTACTTTTAAAAATTATCGAAATATAATCGTGGTCAATGAGATGCAAATTGCGGGATCGTCTGATGAGGCAAGCGCTACAATACAAAATGTTAACACGCTTAACCCTCTACCACCTGACACGAGTAACCGGAGCAATATTGTCACACAAGCCTACCCAAAAAGAATATGTTCTAGTGAGAGCAAAATTACTTGCAGTGATGGTTGCCGCCACGTACCACAACTTTAAAATGTTCTCTGTTGCGTTTAAACGTCCACAGGTTGATACACTCAATAGTTTACGTAGTTTACGTGTAATTTAACTTGAAATTTATGTTCCCGGATAGTGACATACGGCGGTAGAGGGTTAAAAACGAAAAGCTCTTCTCTTATTTTCTAACAATGCAGCGTGCGACGTTATGCCGTGTAGACCAAACCTGCCCTCTAGCGGACCGGTCTGAAGGCTCACTTGTCACATTTAAGTTGGTGCGTGGAACGCGGGGCAAGACTGACTATCATAAAAGTTATGCGAACGATCTCCTCCAGTTGATTTGAGTTTCTTTTTAATTCAGAATTGCCTAATTCAATAACATAAACGGTATCTGTTGCCATACATTAACAAATTCGACGGCAAAACTTGGCTAGGATATCACTGCAGTGAACGCAGAGATGCACCGAATGAGACAATTATTCAAGGCTTGTAATAAGTCATCAAGGCTGATTAATTAAAGAAACGAAATGAATAAGTGCTTATTAGATTAAAGGTTAAACCTCGCTAGCCTAATGCATAAATTAAATGAATTAAAAAATTTTCACGATCACACAGCAAGATGCAGGATAAATTCAATGGATTCTCAGGCGATAAAATAATGACAGTAAGAACATTTAGGTAATTTGGGTAGCCGTACGTCAAGTTTCACGGTTCAAAGGAATATTTTTATCTAATTTAATTTATTTTCTTCTTTGTTCCAGTGTCTTCTATGGCATTCATGGCATGAAATTAATGAAAAAAATTCAAACATTCCAATTAAAGCGTGCAGAAAACAAGGGCAGAACTTTGCTGTCGCCCTCCGGGCTTGGGCTGTACGGCTTCAAAAGGTAGATCAAATTCCGTAAAAAACTAGATGAATTCTTTAAATTCAACGCGGCATTAATGATAGAATAATACGTTACTGAAAAAAACTTAAATGCTATTGAAAAACATCACTTGAAGATTAAACAAGAGGCTGGCGCTAGTTTTTCTATCATTCCTCGTTATCAGTGAAAACGCGAACGGGAGAACCTCTATTCACGCTGTGCTCATTCTACTCGTAAAGGAAAGTGGAAGCCATTTAAAAAAACAAGCCTAGTGCTCATCCAAAACACTGATGCACAACAGCTCTAGCACAAACTGCCTACAAACTAAAGCTTTGACTCAAGCCCTGCCCATCAAGCGACAGCCATAAGACCAAAGGTTGGGTACCTGAAGAGGACGACAGGGTCGACTTTTTTCTTAGGATCGAGCTCTTGAGTTGGTTTCCTTAAGTGGACGGAAAGAAAACGGAAAATGAAATGTAAAGATTTTGCTCTTCCTTTAAAGAAAGCCGATTTCTCAAGATGATCTTGCGGTAAATTCTTTGCCTGATCAAGCAATTGATTAGGAAAGTAAAACATTGAAAGCAATTTCAAACCAGAGCAAAAGGAGATGATGGTTAGAAGATAATTTTATGTGACGGTATGAAACGCACTAATAAACCAAAACATGTTGTAAGTAAGAAATATTATCAATTGGATGAGCTGCAAGCTGCTCAATTAATTTGAAAATATTTGAGATCATCACAAAGCTGCGATTTGTATTGGTATCTTAAATGGATTAGCTTAAAACGCATTGTTCAGCCGTATTTTTAGCGCATTTTCTCATTTATGGAAAAAAGGCGCTATTGTGCTCGTCAAGTCCGTCCGTCTGTCAGTCCGTCTGCCTGTCTGTCTGTCTGTGACTTCACGTTTTCGTCGATTTTGAGAAAATGCGCTCTGTCTCACTGCAGTGAGTACAGAGTTATAATTTTTCACTTGTTTGTTTATAAACACCGCCAGATTTACAACATTGGTCTAAATCAATTTTGTCATCGTCGGCCTAGAAGTAATTGCGTAGGCTGATCATGAACCTAGGTTTACGTACGCCAATGTTTATCCTGAAAGAAGCTGACAGTAAAAGAATCGTTACATCGAAGTAAGTCATAGAGTTACATGAAGTAATCCAGAGGTAAGAACAAATATTACACAAATTCAAGTACTACATGCTGGTGAAGCTGTTGGAGTTAAAGTTTGTGAATCGTGAGACGGGAAGAATCACTCGAAGTATGGATTGATTTGCAGTTAGTGTGAGGCCAGTGAAAAATAAATGAATTCACACGGATAAACATGCATTACTAGTTTCATGAGTAGAACATTAATCCAATAATTTACAAGCAGATAAAACCTTCTCCATGACATGGAAGAAGAAACGCGAACGTTTTCAGTTGTTTCAAAATGAAGGCTGAAACAAATGAACAAGCTTCTCATTGATGAATGATGAAACGTAAGCGTATTCCTTTGTGTAATAACAAAAACTGAAATAAATGAGCAAGCCTCGAGTTAAACATCATCTATTTCTAAGCAAAGAAGCCAGCAATATATACAGAACTCATCTGAACTTCCCCAGAGCTGGGAAATCTGACTTGGCTGTAGATCAGTGCTACTCGGTCAAAAATTTTATAAAATTTTTAAGAATTGTAAATACCGCCGACGGATTTGCTTTATTAGTTAAAATGAGCGAATGCACGTTTTCTTTTCTTAACTTCATGTATATCTCATGAAATCTATTTAAATTCAGAATCGTTGATTGTAAATAACGATAAACAAATAACAACGATGAAAATCGTATCAAAAGATAACTTAGAAACGCAGTTTTATTACAAAGATTCGACTATAAAACCAATGATAGAAAGTTCAACCAAAAACATTAAATCATACTATTGCCAACAGTACTCTAGAAGAAAACATCTATATTTTTCTGTGATTTAGGATAACTCATTCATCCTTTTCGGATTACGTTAATCATGTGTTCATGAATATGTATAGCTGGTATAAAAATTATTTAATATATTGGGTATAACAGTGAGGTTGTAATGAGTATAGGGATCAGGAAGAGAAAAAGAATGAGCAGTTGATGGAAAACCTAACGGGCATATGACCTGTTGAAATCAACACTTACCTTGAAATTTAAATTCTTACACAAGATCTGTTACATATTCGGAACATTAAAAATACTATTTCCGTTCACCAAAGAACTAACAAAAGTCTATGGATTGATATATAAAATTAAATCATCACTTAAGACAGCCTCAGAATTAATATTATAAATTTTCACTTCACTCCCGTTGACCCGAAAATCTTTAAGGAAATTCATTTCTCTTATTGATAGCACGCATTACGTAGTAGAATTATGCAATAAGTCCATGATCTACACTTGATCCCGAAAATTTGAATTGTCCGTAGTTACCACACAATCTTTCAAACCTTGATCTACACGTGTGATATCGAAAATCCAAATTATTTGCAGGTGTCTCATAACCTAGCAAACCCTGATCTACACGTGATGCCGAAAATAAAAATTATCTGCAGTTGTATCATACCCTATCAAACCTTGATCTACAATTGATACCGAAAGTCCAAATTATCTGCAGTTGTATCATAACCTATCAATGAGAACAAGTTCCCAGATATTCACCCTTGATTTTCCCATCGCTCGCGCTCGAAGCCCTTGTGTATAGACTGGCCGATGGACGACTCCATGAGGTCCACGTAGCGAACCACCATTGGAGCAAACGTCTCCCTCAGGTGCTGGTGGAATCTTCCATTCTTCAAGTTATCTGAGCAGAATAAGCACATTTGCTTTGAGTACTTCATTTTAAGAATAATGCAACATCAATCTTACGCAATTTAGTATCGAATTTAGTATTAAATTTAAACGAATAAACGCAGTTGTCTTTGTACATAAAATTGTCAAATCTTAAAGTTATTTCGCTTATAATCGATGAAGCAAACTTAAATTTCGAATAAAAGAAGCATTAAAATTATTTGACATCAATCGTGAAATAAAATCAATAGGTTCACAAATATAATAACAAAGGTAATTTCTCACCATCTTGTCTTAAGTAATCGTTGAGAATCTGGAAGAGGGGGAAGGCGTCCCATGTGTCGGGCGGCTGCTCGGACAGCACCTGGTCCATGTCCACGGCGAACAGCGACCAGAAGATCTCAGAGTGCTCCACCAGCAGGTCGCTGAACCAAGCAAACGCCTGGCCACAGGGAGACAATATGTTACAACATCCGCTCTTGAAATATTGTTACCGAATCTGTTCCAACCTCACTGATACCAATATTGTACCTAGCTAGCTCTGCAGAACCAATAATTTTTGAGCTCAGTGGTAGCAAGCTTATTAAATTCCGTTAGCCCAACCATCATTTACAGCTCAGTGATGTCAACGTTATTCTCAGCTCCGTATAGCATGTCAAATCCCACCAAAAATTCCACCGCGGCCTCAACTCATTCTATCTTCAGTGTTCCTAATTTTGTACCAAGCTCGCTGATAATAATTTAATTTGAGCTCAGTAACACGAATATTTTTCTGATCTCAGCAATGTGAGCCGCCTGACACAAAACCAGTTCACCGTCTAAGTTTTTCAAAATAGGAGGATATTAAATAAATTAGCAAATCATCCTTGAATGAGCAGGAACTCCAAGTGAAGTGATATTGCATGATATATAAAACTATCTGTTTGCAATACATAAGCCATCCACATTCCATGATCCACTTCAGCCTTTGATAAAATCTCTATGCGTCGACTGGTGCCACAGACAGAGGCGTGCTATGGTCCAGTCCATTTAGGAGGATTGATTATAACTGTTCTGTATTGCAGAAAAAATACTAAAATGATGTTTAATGGCTATACGTACAAATGTAATCAGTTGTATGTATAGTACAGGGGGGTTGGACAAAATAAGGGAAACACCTAACATTTTGACATCGTAATTTTTGAACATGTTATAAACAATGAAAACGTGACATATTTTATGCTCTATTGTTTATTGTTGCTGTTAATTGATATTTTATACTTAAGATATTTTTAGTAAATTTTTTCGTCCATAACCTAACCTTAAGCCTATAAATGGCAAACCTCTCTGATTTTCAATGAGGCCAAGTTGTTGATGCCCATATGGAGGTGCTAGTGTGAAACTTCCCGAATGCTTGACGTTTCTAGAGGTACTGTCTCAAAAGTAATGACTGCTTTTAAAAGAGAAGAAGAAAAGTCCTCAGTAAAGCACAGGTCAGGCCGAAAGTCGAAATTGTCTGAGAGAGACGTCGATAATGGTGAGGAACAATCGAAAGATCGCGGCTGTTAAAATTACTGTAGACCTAAATGGACGCCTACAGGCCCCCTGTTACCATACAGGCACTGTCCGCCGAGAGCTGCACTAAATATGTATACCTACAGGCCTATGTTACCATGCAGACTATCCACCGAGAGCTGCACTAAATCTGTATGCTATGGAAGAGCTCCATTTAGAAAATCTCTGGTTTCAAATACAAATGCTTCAAAGCGTTTAGAGTGGTGTAAAACCTCAAGAATTGGTCCCTCGAGCAGTGGAAAAATCTGATTTTCTCTGACGAATCATCGTTTACCTTATTGCCAACCTCTGGCCGAGTTCACGATTGTAGACAGCCACAATTAAGAGTAATTTAATCCCGACCTCCCCCCTCCCAATCGTTATGATCTGGGGTGCTATATCTTGGAAATCAGGCGGATTAATGATTTCTCTTCATTAAAGAAGGATCAACAGCTGTGACTATTCAGGAATTTTGGAGGACTAAGTTCATCGAATGTTTCCAGCACTATTTCCAGAGGGGAACGCCATCTTTCAAGATGACAATACCCCGATCCATTCAGCTTGAATGGCTAAAAAATGTCACGCTGAACATTCTAATAAAGTTTAGCATCTAATTTGTCCAACAGAATCACCAGACCTGAATATTATCGAGCATTTATGGTCGATTTTATAGATGCAAGTCAGAATTCTATTAACGCCGCCGTCGTCGTCCTTAGAAGAGCTGGAGAGAGTTTCAACGAAGAACGGGTTACATTCCTTTGGAAATAATTCACAATTTGTTTGAATCAATACCTCGGAGAATTGAGACTGTAATTGCCGCAGAAGCTGTGCTTACACCATGCTAAAATATATTTTGTGGATTTCTCAGACGTTTCCCTTATTTTGTCCAATCCCAGTATAAACATGTATCAAAGACATAAAAACCAATATCGTTCCACATTATGCAGAAAAACGAGTATAAAAGTAAGTCAGGTGAGCATTTTAAACTAAATGGGTCGTCCAAATAACCCGTTGAAGTGGGAAGATTTATTAACACTTTAGTTGGCCAAGGCAAAATTCATGCTTCCGACACAAAAATACATATTCATTGTACTGTTGATTTACAACCTGAAAGGTAAAGAGTTACCGTAATTATTAATGGTGACTAATAAACTATTGTTGCAATGCAAGTCCTTCGAAAACGAAAAATGAGAAACAAACAAAAACGTGGACTGCGGCTGGATTCTCAGAAATAATTCAGGCATAGTTAATTTAAAATTTAATTCTAAATCATTTTCAAAACAAAACCTACCAAGTGTAGACTCGGATCTCGACTGTGGGATCTTCAAGGAAAGTCCAACTACTAAAATCATGTTTCAGTCTGACCGGCGATCGTAAATTTGATTTGCACTCTAAAAAGAACTGTCAAAATTCCAATATTATATTAAACGCTGTGAATAATTTACAAGACTCAGTGATTACGTATCGGTCACGTTTTGGAGAATAATTTATTACTCAACTTGATTTTTGAATGAATTTTCACCATTCATGGCGAATTTAGCGAGAAAATACGTGAAAACAAACAGTTCACTGTATTCATAACATTTTCTGCGCATCCAACGCACTTACCTTTAGAAGCGATATCTCGAGATGTGCATTACGAGTGCAAAAAAAATGTGTACATAAAGGTCGGATTTATGAGTGAAAAAATCGTCTGTTAATTGAACTTGATGAGTCGATGACAATGCATTTAAGTGATCTTTGATAGCAGCGGTGAAATATAATCAAGCCCGGACTGGTAATTACATACAAAAATATCGCAGAACATCTCGTGGGAAAGAGCAAGAGACGTAGCACATAAAAACCAATGGTCATGCTTTGCTTTCATACTTTGGAAAACGATGAAACAGCAAAAGCACATCAGATTAACGCGTAGCATCCGATAAAATGTATTATTATGTCAAACTGGCACAAGCATGAAGTTTACTTTAATAAAAACGATTACTCACCTTATCCTGGACATATTAAGAGAGTAGGGAAAGGCCATCGATAAAGAGAAGGGAGAGAGGAAGCACATTAATTAGACAGACTCATACACAAGAGGACGATATTGATAAAACGGCCTTCTCTCAAGCGCTGTCTGTTTACACCAACTTCTTCCAAATGAACGACAGTTTCATAAAATAAAAGAGAAGGGCCCCAGAAGCCACGAACGTGCCGCCAACACTTGATCAGGGCCTATACTTTCAAAAAAAGTTAAGAGATCGTAAGTTCATCGGCCAATCATTGGCGTCATTTCAAGCAAAATCCACCAATCAAAGACAAGAAAATAGAGCGTAAGTACTTACGTTCACTCGGCGAATTTTGAAAGTATGGCCCAAGCACAAAAAGAGTTGTTGGCGTAAGTGAACGCAAACTGTGCTCATTGTGTCGTCCGTCAAAACACTACCGTACGCACGCCAAAACATATGCTTGGTTTCAAATTTGTAAGTTTCTCCACGGTGTTCTGATTGATGAAATCATCAGGCACAGTAATTATCCTTCATTCTAGAAATTTTTTAACAATATGAGAATGCAAGATGAATAATTTTAATTTTTCAACAGTGAATGTCTTCAGCAGTTAGGGTTACATTACAGTAACAATGCGCATAATCTTGCCTTCAAACTTGACCCTTTCTGTGCCGATCAAGTGCAATTCTGGCAAGAAAGAACATCAAAACCAATAATATATTCCAAACTACAAGATGAATGTAGTTATATCAATATTTTTCACATATATTTGAAGAGATAATATGGATACGACATTAATTACGCAAATACAATAATTACGAACTATAATAATTCGAAAGTAAATCCAGCCACTATTCAGCATTTATATGTATAATTCACGCTCAGTTAAGAGCTCAAGAAGATGGACCGCTAAAGTATCAGAGCAGGCCTTCAATTTTTAATTGATACTGAAAGAATTAAAAATCACTTACGCTGGTGCTCAAAATCTGGTGGGCTTGAAATACGTATTTGTGTATAGATGTAATCGATCGCTCGTAACTATGAACCATGTTGTCTTTTACGAACAATTGTTAAAATTATCTTCATAAATGAATGTAACCGTGTTAAACTGAGGTTATAGACTCAACGTATGAAGCGCTTGAGTTAACTCTAAAAGTACTTGTACACAAGGGCAGTAGTGGCGGCCAGAACAACTTTTAAATATTATCCGCCACTATTTATCCTGCTATTGGCCTCGTGTTATAGACGCTACTAGCCACTAAGGACTCAGTAACCAAATGTACGAGGCTAATAGTAAAGAAGCTAGCCTCAACACTTGAACGGATGGCAGTAAAATCTTGTTAGTGAAAATCGGGCGAAAATTGTTCACAGGCACAGTCACTCAATGGTCAATATTGCCCTAATAAATTGTAGTAGTGATTTTCAGGAAAAAACGAAAAAGCTCTGTTTGATCCATACTAAGAAATAACAATTGATTTTACCGCAATCAGCGGATCTTAATAGCATAATTTGTGGTGTCTACTCGGACCAAAATTCAAGATTCAAGATTATCCATCCTCCAACTCGTAGGAAGATTTGTATGGAGTGGCTGAAATTCAGATTAAAGAAGACAATAATCTCTGCAATTAATTACCGAGATGTTATGATGAATCAAGAAAGGACTCTATACACGTAAAAAGTGTTTCAAGTGCTGTGTAAAACGCTTGTACTGTAATTGTATTTTTAGCCATTAGCTAGAAGGATACTGGCGATCGAAAGTCATATTGACTGTGACAAGTCTCGGTTCACCAGAATTTGAGCACTTCTGCGGTTTCTATCCAACAGTAGTAAAGTGGCTGGGAAGTTTATAAATGAAAAGAACTAAAAATTAAATGAACATAATTAGAAATACCTTTATCTAAAGTTTTCAATCATATTGACTGTGACACAGTGCGTGCATGACGAAGAGAAATGTTATAAAGAGGAACCTTTTACACACATAAAAACGGCGAAATATCAAAATGAGGCGCACGTTAAGTTGGTTGCAAGAAAATAATAGTAAAATGAGTAATTAGATCGATTAAAGTGATAAAATATGCTCTGGAAGAAGCGTTAAAAGAGCGAGTGAGTCTACGAATGGTAATTGAAGACAAAAAGATGTAATAAATATTCAAAACGTATTGGTTGTACAATATGAATAGTAATTATTTCTAATAGAAGAGTCGGACCAAAAGAAAGAACTCAAGTTCAGTCAGTTATACAATTTTAAAAGCATTTCAAAACACAATATTCCAGTAAAATTAATGGATTTAATTACCTGCAAGTAAAGAGTAAAGTAAGAGTTATTAAAAGGATAAAATAAACAGGCATTTTCGAGAGGTCAAAGTGCAGGTTGTTATGAGGCGGACGATACAGTGGATGTAAAGGATCATGCTTGGAATGACACTCACCGAGCGAAAAGCCTACACATAGAAGGCAAGATGGAGGCGAGAGGGAAAGTGTTAGTCCAGCATCCCAAGACACATTTGACACGGCCTACAATCAAGTTAATTAAGCGGTGGACACGACTTACAATCAAGTTAATGAAGCGGTTGATTTGGCCCACAATTATGATAGTTAAGCGGTGGACACGGCCTACAATCAAGTTAATTAAGCGGTGGACACGGCTTGCAATCAAGTTACTAAAGCGGGTGATTCGGCCCATTGTTAGGTTAATTAAGTGGTTGTTACGAGCCACAATTAGGCGATTCAAACAGTTGGCATGGCATACAATCAACTGGTTCAAGCGGTTGACACTCTTTACCGAAGAAAGCTTGCACGTCGTAACATTCTTCAACAAATTACAAGTGAACAACGGGTCAGTTTTCTTCTTTACATTTGATGCATCGGTGAAGGGAAGTAACAAAGCCAAAGGTCAAAACATTCAAGTTTTGAGACGTCAATAAAGTCGTGTAAGAGAGTTTGAGATAATCTTTTGCCACTTGTCAACAAATGATTTAATACTTTGTATCAAATAAATTTTTCATTAGATTTTGAAAATACGACAGAATATTTTCTTATATATTAACAATTTTTGTATTTTCAAGATCAGAGAGAAGAAATCGGAATTTAAGGAAAATATGAATGTATCACAATTTTTGCGTGCTACTATTCATACTACATGGTATGAATTTTATATTATATTCATGGAGCAATTAATACAAGTAAAATACTATTCATTGACATATAATAAGAAGGCTATTTTTTAATCCCAATAGAGCAATTGCACTCAAGTGATCAAAAATTAATTTCATAAAATTTTTAAAAAGGATTAGGCCATTTCACGAATCAAGTCGCTCAGAAAGGAAGAAGACGAATCGTTGGAAGAGAGTTTATCCTTATACTTGCAGCTGACAGGAACACTAGTTGATATTTATGTTGAATTGTGGTTATCAAGAATGATTAGGAATAGCTCAATGCAATAAATCTTAATAATCCAAACGTATACTTGCATAACTATCGACGAGTAAGAGATTTATTCAGGCGTACGGAACAATGATGAAGTCAGGCACGCAATCTGCTCTTTTGTCAACACAGATTTGGTTTAGCGAGTTCTACGGGAAATATTCATTACTTTTGGGAGAATGATTGACTCAGAAATAGACATTTAATGTTGACATAAACAAGAAAAGCGATAATACTACACATTAAACACAGCACATTCAAGCAAGGGACTCGAGTGTAAGAGATGCTAGTCATGTATGGCTCACACTGAAGGAGCGACAACATATCGCCTAATTCCTGATCAACAACCGCGAAATAAAGTCCAGTGTATCAACTTAGAACGGCATTCTTTAATTTTCTTAATTTGGTTGTAAATGAGCAAATATCTTGAAGAGCAAAGTTATTGTGACGAAGCAAAATGTGACCTAACGCACAGGCATCGATCGGCCTGCAAGTGTTGGATCAGCCCAACTGCGTTGAAGAACTATCAAATCACGGCAGTTGTTTTGAGGGCGTCACCAAACCCACCTTCGAAGGCAATCTTCCCGCAAATATCAATAACATTGACGGCACAAGGCAATAAGAATCGCTATATATTTCAGCTGCCATCATAAACTGAACTAAGGACACCGTGTATAATGGAAAGATGCTTGGTACCTCAGCGTGGTGCTCTTCATTCTGCTGCAGGAGGTCGACGCAGAGCTCCGACAGGCGGATTAGGTCCTCCAGCTTCCTGCTTGCCGACACGCCAGAGTCCGGCCCGAGATCCTCTGCGTGGATACAAGACCATTTTGGATACGAAGTCGATCATACTAGTGAAATTAAACCTGTACCTCAGCAGAATTGCATAGGGTTGAATATATGTTCTTTTGGCACCATAGGCAATGCATAAGAAATATTTCTAATATAGGATATTTTATTGCAAGAATGGTTTCCATGTTTAATAAAATTGTTTCGCCTAGAAAAGCGTTCGTGTATAATAAATACGCAAACGGAATGAAAACCGCATGAACGTAATATTTGGGGTGACTTGCACATACAATGATTCGCAGCTTTTATGTCATGACTTCCATAGGAGTTAATGAATTGCTAAGTATGAATTTCACTGAATGAGTGAGTGCAGAGCCATGCAGCGAAACTACGCCATTTAAGCATTCAGTCGCTTTGAACTTACCTTGCAGAGGTACATCAGTGGCTGAGGCCGCATAGACAAAAATAATCACAATCAAATACATGATAAGTTAACATATTTAGATACGTAAATATATGTACGAGACTAAAACAGATGTCAGAGTTACTACGTCATTTTGAAAGCCGGAAAAAAATGACACAATTACATTATCAGCAATATGATTCGTTAAGATTCCGCCTTTCGTCTGTGGAAAGAATGCTAACGAAAACGCCAACATTCCACGTAACCCAACACAAATACTTACAAAATGTGTATTTTCATCAATGTAACAACCATCGTAATTGATTGATCCAACAATGAATGATGCCGGTTTTTGTTGTGCGCACAACACTTTCGACAAAGAAGTTATCAGAACCCACCCTCCACTTTGGTTTCCCCGGAGAGTCTGGTGTAGTTGAGGAGGGCTGCGTTCTCCAGACTCTTCTTGATCATGGCGCGTACCTCCTCGTGTGACACGGGCGTCACGATATCTTTCATCAACACCTGAGGGCAACGGGTGCATGAAGAGCTACTTATACTAAGTAATATACTCTAAACCGTTTAAACTAGTATGTTATTGACCAACTCTATTGAGGCAGAAAACCCGAGCGTAAGGCCTATGAAATTATAAGGTAGTTTTCAGATTTGAAATCTAAAGTATGTCTGGGGAAAAATATGACAAGTGCAGCACAGCATTTTATCAGAAGGCCAGTAGTGCAATGTCAGAATATTAATTGAAATGGATGAAATTTCTCGAAGCCAGATTATGTTTGGTATGTCCCCTATGTGTTATGTCCCTAAGAAATGCCGAATTCGACGCCCGAGCTCTGGCTGGCCATTATTTTGTGACTTTTGGCTGATGTTGGGGATTGAGTTGCTTTGAGAGATGTTATTCATTCGTAGATAGTCAAATTATTCTTAGAGTTGTAATATATTATTATAATTGTAGCACCTATACAGCTTGTACTTATTTTCCTTATGTCCATTGTTCTAACCTTTGGACCGTATAGAGGAAACCGGTTCAGGGAGCATTAAGCAATTTACTTGAATAAATTCAAATCCAATTCACCAATTGTCACTAGGTCTAGAGAACGATTATGCAGCGCATGAAGTAAATAGTTAATTAGCAATGCTTCCTATTCACCAACACAAGATCTGGCTTACGCTATCGAGGAGCACCAGCGCAGACTGCAGAGCGCCCTCTGGCCGCCCGAAGGGGAAACAATACCTGCAGTAAAATTTAATTGTCTTGAATAAATATGTATTATGGCCAACCTGAATTCCTGAATATGCTACAAATACTCGCAAAATACTATTTTTAAGTCAGATTTGAATATAGTATGCGAATATAATATATATTATATCTTCATATAATACATGAAAACAGAATATTCGTTCTGTTTGATTTTACACGTGTTAAGTTATCGGAAAAACGGAACACTTATAAGGTTTGGTTGCACAAAAATTTTAAAATAGATATACCACTTATAACCATTGTTTCTAACTTTCTCTGCCTCGTTCAAGTTTCTTTGAATCAACTTTTAATTTAAAATTGGCGCAAACAGCACGAATCATTGAATAATATAGTGCACATTTACAAAAAAAGTCTGTGAGTACAGGTACGAGATGAATTTTTTTTCAAATGAAAGCTTGTCATTACTTCTGTTATAAACATTATGGTTCATCAAGCATTAATCCATAAAAAGAAGACCTAACATTATGGTTCATCAAGCATTAACTCATAAAAAGAAGACCTACATAAAGTTGGTAATTTGGTGTTCGAGCAGTACCCGGAGTCGCTCCTTGATTAACATGAATCGGTCGCGCTCCTCAGCCAGAACTGTACCCACGCCGTCCGGCCTGTTGGAGAGACAGCGTCAAGACCGCGAGCTATACTGCACGCATGGCGACAGTTGTGTCAATACTGACATTATTAACTGGCACTGCACTTGTCAAAAGTTTTACAGATAAACTTTGCGGCAGAGACAAATCATCAATGCTGATATTAATGGCTGGCGTTGTAGCTGTGAGATGCTACACTTATCCGGTGATAATATTAACCGCTAATACTATGGGCTAATATTATCTCCGTATGCAGGCACCTTTAAAGAGAAACACTGTGCCCGAAACAAGGAGCCAATCATGAAAGCAATGCTGGCGATGTAGCTGTGAGAAGCTACGTTTACAGAGATACACTGCACCGATTTTGGGAACGTACAGCGTTCAGAACGAGCTTTTTCGTCGTAGAACAGTGGCAGACAAATTGGCTTGTCACGGTATTTTTTAATGAAGCACTGAATCTTGATACCAGAAACGTGGTTTTAACGTCTGATGCTGAGAATGTTTTTAAAATGGTCTAATTAAGCTGATATTTGCATTTCTACTCTGAGTTATGCCCAGTTAAAGTCTTGTCACTGACTACAAACAAGCATTTACCTACAAGACTAATCGATACAAAATTACTGAAGTAAGGTGAAACAATATTAAATATGGCAAAAAATTAGAATATGCGGATGAAATCATAAATACAGCACAAAAGTAATTGACGTGTTGGAATTCATCAAGATCAACAATCTACCAAAGGCAGAAAATTGAATGGCAATAAATAAGTTATCGTTCCCGAAACAATTCCTGTTGAATCACCATTGTGATCAGGAGACTCGAAAACCATGCCAACAGGTAAGCAGATCTGTTATACGAATAAAATTTTAATCAAAATCAATGTTTCGGTCACAAAAATCAGCTTAACCTCTTACTGCCTCCACGGACGAATCCGTCCGCTAATCTACAATATATAGAAACTTCAATAAAATTTTCAGATTAACCGGACAGTAAAGAGTTAAATTACCCAATATTAACCGGGCAGTAAAGGGTCGAATTACCCACATCAAACCTGCGAGTTAATTAAGAAACTTGCGTGAGCTGTTGGGATGAAGTAAAATGAATTACAACGTATTTTACCGAGCACCAAAATACAATAGTTATAATATCTAGAGCTAAGGCGACTGTGGACCAGCCGTAAAAAGATACAATGAGTAAATTAGTATGGGAAGGAAGGCATAAGCAGGTTTTATACTGTACACAATCCCCCAGTCTTCTCAAGGGAGTGAGATGAATCAACGACAATACAAAGTGCGATATAAATCACGGAAGATATTCGCAGACATCTGCTCAGCTCAAATACATGACCAGAGATCTTCTGTTTCGATCCAAAGCTACATAACCAAGGCAACGCATGTAGCCTAAAGGTCCTTGATTTATTGTACTGGCCAAGACCTGCCGCATGCTGATCGGGTAAGTCGGACGAGTGATCACGATTGCATACGTTAGGGGGCGTATGTAAGTGACCAAATCAGGCGGTCCAAGACGGAAGGATAATCAAACCAAAATAAACTAATGCCGCAAATAGAATTAAAACGTCACAACCACATTCCTATTAATATTTTAAACAAAAATTTAATTGTGTTTGTTCAATGTCTTCATCAGTATTGGAATATACTCAACTGAGTGCAGAAACCATTGCATATACTTAACTCTTAGAAACCATTGCATATACTAGCTCAGCTTCAAAAAGAAAATTTCTGTTCTCTTGTCTATCACAATAAACCGGAACTGTTTCAGCGATGAAGCTTAAATGGATTTGTTCTAAATAATTTGGTGAAGTGAGACGCAAGCATAGAGCGAATGCAATGATCACGCATGCATAAGAACAAGGCTTGAAAAATTCGACAGATTACACATTTCATAAAAAAAGTTCATCTAACATTAAATTACATCAGAACAAGCATGTGTAATTACATGACACTGACGACAGCTTGTCATGCAAAACTCATGTTCGCAAAATAGAGGCTCTAGCCTGGATGCGTTGCGGAAAAGCAATCTCGAGTAAACCAAAATTAAATGGCAGATAAAAAACAGACTCGCACGACAACAAAATTGCCAAACATTCATGAATGTTTCATATAAACTGGATGTCTTGATGTAAAATTAGAAAATTAGCAATATGGAAGCCTAAATCTTTTTTTAAGCGGCGTCAGAATGAAACTTAAAATTGTAAGCAATTCAAACAGCAGTAAAATAATATGCATCATGTTGCATGAAACCATCGCTAATTAAAGGAAAAATGAACTGTTAATTTTAAGTAAATACACATTAAACTAAGAATTGCTATGAAAGAAACGAGTCGTATGTGGAGATAAATTGTAAAGTTATTGCTGCAACTAATCTACGTAAATGTACTATAAACAAAATAGACGGGCACAATATACGCATGAGAGTTTAAGCCATGAGAAGGCTGGATGACTGCCGACAAAACTTTATTTTAGTCCAGCACATGACTACGAAATTTCACTAACTAAACTTTATAAAGTAAGAAGAAGCGTGCCCACGGAGAGTGTACAGGATGCAGGGGAAGGATGGCTTCTGCATGATACAGTGAAAACGGATCTTGAATATTGTGTGAGAAATATTCATGCTATTGATGATTTCACCATAACGGAAAATTCATCAAAATTCGGCAATTGTCCGAATAATTTTCAACTTTTCCAGCATTAAAATTGAACGAAGGGTAATCAATTATTGAGGGAACTAGGAAGGAATTTAATACTGTGCCACCGGTTTTAGCATCACTTGATATAATCTGACAAGGTGCTAGAGACAGGAAGCTTTTATCGCAAAAGACATTGAGCTCTTAAAAATTGGTACTGAAGATCAAGTCAATAGAAATGTTCTAGTGTTTATAAATTACGACCTGATTTACCATTTATTGAAAACCAGTAAATGTGAAAGACTCAAATGTCTAGTCTATAAAGATGCCTGTATTCGTAAATTATAACCATATTTAAAACAGAATTCCAATAACAATATTTAGAAGAGAATAACATGACCGGAGAAGAAAGAAGAAACGAACCTTGGTTGTTCCGTTGCGACATGAGCTGTGTTATTTTCTTGACCACTGGAGGAAGGGAGAAGCAAGGGTATGCAAGGTGAGATACGACAACCACAAATGCAGCCTAAATGCTAGACGGTACCATTAATTAAGCATCCAAATCTCTGGCGGCTCGAATGGTTAACCCTTTACCGCACGAGCTGAAGAATTTTTGGCTTATTCACGCTGTTCCTTGCTCAATTGCAAGGTTATTTTGTCGGTAAAGGGTTAATTACTGAGGACGTTGTAAGCTACTGCACAAATGACACATAACGCAGTGTTGCAAGGCCTTCAGATGCCATGTATACAGGGTACATGTAGAGATGAACAGCTTCAAGCCAACATCTTGTAAGGCACGGAATGCATGTCCATTGTCCACACACACTTGGTCAATTTCAAGCAAAAATATTTAACAAAATATCAGACAAATGCTTCCAAAAAGTAAGTCGGCATCTCATTGTTATGCTTCAAAAAAAAAAAATCAGAAGAAATTGTGTGCACGTCCACCGTCCAGTTTGCACGGTTCCTAGAAACTCAAGATGATACTTGACAATCACTAGGAAGGCTTTAATTTTAATTGAAGATAAATGGTAGCATGAGTGCTTACAGTACAAGATCTTTGGCTTGACGAATACTGCTTTGTACAATGTACGTTCATCTCGCTCACAATCAGAGGGAATATCGTTACGAAGGCAAGAATACGAGGTTGATCCCTCTACCGCAGTGGCAGGCACAACGTAGCATATGCTATTGCAATGGTTTCTAATTATAGGACATTAAAGAAATATATGTGTTTCTAGTTATCTATGCAACAACACATCACATTCATGAACAACATCACAAAATTCAGAGTAATTCCTTTGTGTCAACTATTTGAACTTTTTCTATCTTCTGGTTCATTAGTACTCTTTAACAACACTAAAATTTCACTATCCCTTTTTCACTAAAAATATGACTTGCGAGTACTGTAAACCGAATCGGGCTATCCAACGAAATTCCAGCTGAACATGCGAAAATTCGGAAGGAAACCCGACATTAGCAACGAACATGCATATTCCAAACATGTCACTCCACGGCGAACGGATTCTCCAAGAAGACTGGTCAGACTAACGTGTCTTTAAATATGAATCTATCCCGTATACTCCTCTCAATGACAGCTTGAATTTAAAGATACATATTGATTAATAAGGAAATAGTTTATGTCGATCAAGATATTTCAAGTCTTTTATGACTTCATAATGTTGTGATCATTAAAAGGTCCTTGTGATATATTAAAATATCTCCCGGAAACCTGCTTTCGATTTACCAACGCCAGCGAAAAACATATTTAGAACATAAACAAACGAACAATAATGTTCTTTATAAAATCCACTTGCTGGTATTCAATCGAACTGCATGAAAAAGTAAAATCTACTATCCCATTCTACCAATATAAGTATATTTACAATATTTACTTATTACATTGGTAGGTATTTATTTATCCGTAATAGATTTCCATTGGTATATATAAGTGTAAGAACTGGCATGTAGGACGTATGGATGTTATGCTACTATTGGTAGGAGCTACGCTGGTGTGAGCAGCGCGCGTTAATAGGAATTATAAAGAAGTTTCGACCTTGCATGCAGTCACTAAGTTACTTCGCTCACAACAAAAGATGAACCCAATATCTGATTGAATCTCCCAATCCATGATTGAATTTGAACAAAATTAATAAATACGACGCGAAAACTTTGATGCAAATTCTCGACAATGAGCGACTTCTCGATCATAATATGGGAGTTATGGAAGATTTAAATCGTGTATTGCATTTCATCTGCGATGAAAATTTTCAATTAGCTTCCCTGTCTCACATTTGAATACTCCACTTGATTAACATCCACAAATTCGCAAGCAAGACTTATTAATATTAGATAAAGTAATCAATATAGGAGCTGCTAAGTTATTACGGACAAGCCACGCGATTTTAGCGACATACTCTCACATGTGTTGTCAAGTTCTAATGATTTATTTACCAAGAGTTTATTCGACACATCACTGGCTAGTGACTTTCATTTAGTTATAGGTATATACCACAAGAAACAGTCAATAATGATAACACCAACGGAATTCAAAGTCACTAACGCAATAGATTGGGATGGGAATCACGTTAATATACGATTACACTCAGATAAATAAATGCGTCATACTTTCAAAATAGTGAAGTACATTTATCTCACAGCACGAGTAGAGAGCGGACATCAATGTAACGCTCCCGTAGGCTGACAAACTGAATCAGGATGACCCGCACAAGCGCAAAACGTGCATAGCTTCTTAAAAAAAATTCAACTCAGTACTCACTGCAGTGAGTGACAGAGAGCGCATTTTCTCGTCGACGAAAACTTGAGGTCACGGAAGGACGGACAGACGGACAGATGGACAGACGGACATGACGAGCACAATAGTGCATTTTTTCCATAAATGAGAAAAAGCGCTAAAAAAAGGCTCTTTTATTTGTCTGAGTGTATGGGAGCTCAGTGGTGAATTAGGACGGGCAAGACACCAGCTATAGGAAGGCCAGCGTTGCTACGCTACACTTTTTTGCGCTGGAGGAAATTTCGAGTGACGATTTCGAAAAAAAATAAATAAAAATAAAATAAAAATACCATGTCAACGAGGCTATCAAGATACCCAGATTTTTATTATAGTAAATTCGCAGTCACTTGAGCATTCTCGTTCATATTTCAAAAAAAAAAAAATAGGGAAAGAAAGATGCTGATTATAGGAAAATAATTAGTTGACATCAATGAAATTCAGAGAAGTTTGGAGTTAAGCTTTGGACAAAAATGGCATTTTATGGTAAGAAAATTCAACATCCAAAATTATTTTTCGCTTTTTTCAAAGTAAAATAAGTTCATTCAAAGTAAAACGGACCATGACCATTTTGACTTTTAAAAAATAGAATCATGTGCATTAGCAGAACTCATAAAATTTGGATTCATGAAAGACATACAGTTAAGGGGAGCAAAGTTATTCTCAAATAATAGTTATTCTCAAATAAACAAAGTTATTCTCAAATAATACAACTCTTGTTTTGTTGAGAGACTAAATACATGTATGCGGCAGGGTGACTTCTAAAAACTCTATTGCCTTCGATCGGCTAGTCTGGGATTTGTTCATCATAATTAGTTCGATATCGTTATTGATATTTGAAAAAAGGAAAAAAAAATTTTAGAAGGAGATAAAAAATAATTATCAACTGATATTCCAAAGTATATAGGTAAAGAAAGTATGGTAAACTAAAGGATGTAAATTGTAAACGAATGACTTTAATGCTCGGAAAATAGTTCGCAAGACAACAAGAGAGCACACAAATGGTATGGAGCTACAGGAAGTTAACAAAAATTATTTCATTGTAAATTCACTATATTGTTGCCATTTATAAGAATTCCGATTAATTTCCGAATAACTGCAAATGTAAAAATTAGGGATGTAATTTGCTTAAATGTGCTGTAATCAGAACGTGTCCAGAACCTGATAAGATTTTGAAAAAAAAAATTCACAACTGAGTTTACTTGAAATAGCAAATCTTATCTGCATTTCATTTTTATAATAATTCCGAGGAACATGCATTGTAATAGATTCGCTTTCGGAAACAATCACCAAAAATTGATTACTTTTTCCTTCATGTTTATCAAATTAATAGTGCCATTGAATAAATTTCCGATTACATGTCCTAGCTGGTTTAAATAATTTCTCAAGTGCAAAGAAAATGCGACACTTGGTCTGGGACTAAATTTCGAAGTTATTTCCTGTTACAAGCTTATAGTGAATTTACAATGAATTAGGCAGGCAGGATGCGAAGAGATGAGCAAGGCGGGGCAGACAAACACAACACGAAAGTAAATCATGTGAACGGGAGGCTCTCGTCTGTGTCGTTCATTGGTATCCACTGCACTGTAGTAATCAATCTTAATAACAACACTGGCAGCATAATTGTGTAGTAATAACGGGGAGCTGAACAAAAGCGACTCGTAGCAACTGACCCAACTGATACGCTTCCGTCCTCAGTTGTTCTGCAAACCGTTGCCATAATCGCAAAATGTGGGGGAAAAACGGCAAAAGAGTTAGAAAAATATAAACACAGTGGAAGTAATTGAGGACAATGAAACGTTACCATTATGTGTATACCTGATAAAACCTCAACAAATAACAAAAAAAAAGTTCGAGAAGGATTAATTTCATTCGAAGGAACGCAATTTGAAGAAACGCTAACTGGAAAGAATGTCTTCTATTTAATGATTGAGACTGAAACTAGAACACTTAGCATTTGCTGAAGTAATTCAAGTGTTTTGAGCTAGTGTATGTACAATCAGAATCAAGTTATTCGATAATTATGTACATGCAAATTTTCACCCGTCATTGAAAATACGACTGGTAACGGGGCCACTATATGACGTCTAGCTAGCATTTTAAGACTACGACGCGCAATTAAGAAGGCTTCAGCGCATCTTGTATGGGGATGAGTTTTTCTAACATTAAATAGTATTAGTATCATGAATACCATAGTTACTTAAATGGTTACACAACCTCTGTTCCTCTCCAGCGCATAACTGATTTGACTGCATCTCAGCAGACAATAAGAATGATCGATGGTCATGCACCATCATCAGCTTTAGCTGAGATTAGTAAAACACTTGTCGAAACAACACAATTTCATTATCCTAACATCTCCCTCATAGAACACACTAGCAAATCGCTTCTGAGGAAAGGATGTGGAATTATTGTATGGAGCAATGAGAAAATGTGAAGATATTAGGTAGGCCGGGCAAAGAGGAGCCTAAAGGAAAATGTTTGTATTACTTCATAGTTTCACTTAATTAGAATGACAAGATACCCTGAATGCAGCAGTCCCAGTAGCACATGCACCCACCCAAGCAGGGCTGGCTAGTACCAAATAAGGTTGGCCTCTGTAAGAAGGCTACCCACGTGGCCCGTGCTGACCTGTTGCCGTGCACGTGGGAGGCGCAGTAGGTAAACGAAAAGTGAATCAGCTTTGGGTCGATCATCTGGCCCTTCTCGGCCCGGTCGAGGAGGTCCTCGAGGTAGCAGAGGTGCCTGAAGCAGCCACGTACCCCGTACCTCGCCTGGTACTCGTCCAAAGCGAAGATCTGGCCAGGACTGAACCAACCCTGTCCGCGACTCACAGTCAAAATGCCATCGAGTTTGTTCTATCCAGAGCATTATTGTTGAATTGGAGTCTTTATAATGGAACTTTATATGCGCGAAACATTCACAGTTTTGTAAATTTTGTAATTTTTCATATACAGTGACCTGAGATGGTATTATGAAAGAATCAACGGCATCACGAGTCAAACTGCCATCGAGTTTGTTATATACAGAGTCCTACTGTTGAATTGGAGTCTTTCATGATGGAACTTTTTTATGCACGAAACATTCAGTCTTAAATTTTACAATTTTTCATATACAGCGACCTGAGATGCTATTCTGAAAGAATTAACGGCACCTCCTCGCATCGTATTATTAGCTTTAGAGGAATGGCTTAGAGATCTAACTGCCCCATGCTTTCGGTCGGTCTGAACATGTTCAGACCGACCATGTTCGGTTCGGTGAACTGCACGTCACAAGCCGATCGAGCATAAAATAATTACGGCGCTAGGGAGGTTAAACGGAGCCAATGGCTTGAATTGAACAATTGAAGTCTGACGAACAGCCATTACAATGACCACAATAACTGACTATTTCATTTATTTTCATTTGATTGTATTAAATTTTATAATCTACAGCGTAATAAATAAGTAGTAGTCATTATTCACCAGGGAGCAATACGGATCGTTGAGTCTGTACTCGAGGGTGACAATCTGCAGGGTCTTGAAGAGGCTGTGGTGGTCAAACTTGACGGGGTCCGCGCTGATGTACTCGTCCATGCCGTGCTTCTTGGCGCGATCCGCGTCTGTTGACATGACGGGTTATTTATACCAATTTTGCTAACAGCTCTAAAATTATATCTGCAGCAGAACTACGTGAATGTACGGTACATTTCTACCCTTATGTCTCGCAACAACCATTCAAACTCACTTTACAGTGAGCAGCTCTTAACTGATACATGCAGCAGAACTACGTAAACTCACTGCGCAGTACAGATCTAATATTAATCATAATTATTTCAACTCCTTGTTCAGTTAGCAGTTCTTGCCCGATATCTGCATAATAACTACATGGACTCACGGTGTAGTTGAAATCTCGACGCAGAACTATTCAGACAAACTAAACCCTCCTAGCCTGATAACTCTGGGAGAATTATTTGCCTAACAATGTGCAGTGTGCAGGTCTAGGCAAATAGGCTGTGGCGGTGCAATGTGCAATATATCCACCACAGTCATCCCGCATCAGTAAGTAGCTCAACCTTGATTTCCATATTATAGTCATCACAACTCATTTTTAAGTTATAACTTGATATTTGCACCAGAGCGGTTCCAAATCATTTCCTGCTTTAACCCGTTATCCACACCACAATCACCTCAACTCGCGGTATCCGTATCGACATCATAATTGCCTCAAATCACTGCGTCAGAATAATCTTATATCGACACCAGAATTATCCCTACTCATTGTACCAGCATACCCTGACTGATATAGCAGCATTACTACTTTCTACAAGTCATCCCTGATTCTGATCTAAACCAATTAGCCAATTAGCTACGTCGGTTTATTGAGCTTCATATCATAATAATGTAAATTCCCACTCGCGTCATCATCCATACAGTAGTTTGTCCAGCTCAAATGCTGAACTTAGGTTGAAAACTTGAATTCGATTCATGCTGACGGACCTCCCTGTATCTTCGAGAAGGTAGAGTTCTTGCCCTGCGGGGCGGTCGGGGGCGTGGGTTTGTTGGCTTGCCCCGTGGCGCGGTATAGCGCAGTCACCCACTGATGGGATTCGTTCTCGTCTTCAGTCGCGAACAGGATTGAGTCGCCTTCACGCACGGCGTTGAAGAAAAATCTTCCACCTTCCAATTCTAAAAAAAAATTGGGACGGAAATAAAGATAAATAATTTATGCTCATGGCACTAGCACTACTTGAAAATTTGTAATATGCGATCAAGTAGCAAAGAAGTTAAATGATGGTGAGTATTTTATATATCTCGTGACAAATCAAGTGATAGATAAAGTTTTGCACATGCAGATACTTGACAAAAGAAAAGCAAACTAAGCACATTTTACAAGGAATGTAATTCTTTCCATTTTTTATCGAACAATATCTACCAACACATGTGACAGAGACGCTTAGTGAATGCATGGTTTCACTGGCCATTTTGGACATCGTAAATCGTCAGTTATGGAAAGATCGGGTTCAAAAGGCCACATCCCTTACGGAATCAAGTCACGAGAAGTACAAGAATCGGCTACAGGCCATGGGCATATTTTTTCAATGCCGACACTTCTATTCTATTCTAGTCGATAAGAGACACTTATGAACTCACACTTATTAGCATAAGTCCGAGCATCTTCGAATCAAGTATACAATATTGGAAAAAATTCAAGCATTTTTGCCAACAAGATAATTTATTTTCACCTTTATTCAAATAATCACGATATGGAAAACAACCTGACGTTCTCGATAATATGCAGGAATTAACTTATTTAATTAGATAATCAAAGCACATACTACCTCTGTCTGCTAGTATCATGTTGAAGTCCAACAAAGATTTAACGGCACTGTAATAGTAGCGACATTTCAGTAAATGAAGGAATACATGAATGGATCAAAAAATGATAATCGATCACCACCATTGATTTAGGATGGCTCAAACTACTTCAAGCTCGAGAATGATATATCAATCACGTTCACGACAGAAACATTCAGCTCGAGAACACCGTAAATGGAACTACATATCCAGCTCGAGAACACTGAGAACGCAACGCGCTCAGAAATGTTGTTCCCGTCAATCAAGTAAAGAACAAGAATAAATAGGAGAATAAGTGGCGTCAACTTACCCTGACCGACCATTAGCTGAGCTGCATTAGGGATAATAAACAAGTCTCAGTTACAGAGGAAAGAAAGATATGCCGCGTATTAATGCAAGATTATTTACGATCACGGTTCAACATTAGGTTGATGTATATGAAGAATGAATACTGAATGGAAGATAATTAACCATACCTGGACCAAACTGACACTAAGAGTCAATAAGATGTTCCAAAGATTAATGTAGGCAGCTCATTCTGCTCATAATCGACGATTTATGAGCGAAAATTTTTCATAAAATTGCCGAGAATTACAGTAATATTTCTAAACACCTTTATATTATAATTTTAATTAAAAATTTATTTGCTAAATATAATTGTATTAATAATTCCTATATACTTTTATTATTATACTTAAAAATTTCAATTATATAAGTTAAGTTGTAAAAAATAACCTTGAATTGTTTCATAAAAAATAATCATAACGAAAAAACACATATTTTCATTCGATTTTTAATCACTGATTATTTTTCCAATCAAACATTCATCCAAAATTTTTACATCTCAAACGGGTCCAAGAAATCCTCACCGGTAGACCATCCGTCACAATGCATGTGATCATGAACTATCCACTCACCAGAAACAGGTTCTATATAATCCACAGTGTACCCGTCCAGCTGCATCATCTCTGTCGGCTCGCTCTTCTTCTCTCTGTAGCTGCACATGGCGAACGTGTACTGAGACACCTGCACCAGACACAGATAACGCCTCTTCCATTTCTTCCATACGCTCTTGCCCAGCGCGTACGAATATCTGAGGTTGTAAAGCAGAGGTTTATCCACTCCACTCATATCACTTCAATCAATATTAATTTGTCAACCACGCGCATATAAGATAATCATTGGCAGGAATCCGCTCACAAACGAGTCGCGATTGGCAATAGAGGGATGGTGTTTCATAGAAAATTTTTTGCATTGCAATTTCATTATTTTGCTGTTTCTCGCTTAGGAATATTCCTTGATAGTTATTGATGCCCAACGGGAATTTGCAATCTAGGTGTAGATATTTTATAAAATATGGAAGAGTTATGAGAGTCTATTTGATCAGGTTGTTACTACTGCTCAAAATTAACGCTTTATTTGCGTTGGTTCATATAAGCTTTAATCAAATGACGCGGCGTTTCAAGCCCGAAAAGTAGCTCTAAGTCTAAAAGGCTAATTATGTAATAATCGAGCAGTCAACGTTTCATTAGATTACTTAACGAAGAGCGACTAGAACTCACCCGCAGTGCTTCAAGTTCTGTGGCTTGTCCATACGGCAGGCAATTTTAATCTTGAGGTCCTGATCTGATGCGTTCTTCGGTACCGTCATTTTGTGCCACTCTGGAGCCTGTCGAAGGCAACCACCAACACATATTGACTATAAGCGTTAGTCTAACGTACACTGCGAATCTGGGGGGCAACCAAAACATGGGTTATCTAGAGTTTTCATCAATAAAATTCCTTGGGACCCAAAGGATATTATGAGATGGCATGAATCAGAATTTATTATAGGAAAAAAATTTACAATAATCAAGAGTGATTACCACGCTATTCACTCATACTGCACTATATTCACTCATCTGAATAGGTTCTTACTGAACCTATTCAGGTATTTTGCTGAAGTACGCGGGGGAACTGCGAAAATAAAACCACTAACATATGTTAGTAGAGTCAGTGGGATTCATTACTCAACCGGTGTGTTGAGCTGACGTTCTCGACGGTCAGGGGGGACACTTATCATATGAGCAAGCAATGCATATAGACACGTACAGGTTCCTTCTTTAACTACCAACTATATCCGCAATTATTCTACTTCTACGATAATTGAGACGATAGACATTGACGACGATCCATGCATTGCTGAGCATGAGTCATTGGGGTTCCGAACAGTGCCAGGGTTTAAAGGAGGTTTTGAATAGTACCAGGGTTTGAAGAGGATTTCAAACAGTAACAGGTTTGAAGGGGTCACAAACTGTTGCAGAGTTTGAAGGCGTCACAAACTGTACCAGAGTTGAAGAGGTCTCAAACAGTACATGCACAATAGTAACATTAATCTAAAAATCTCCCCAGTTGTACAGTACAACAGGAAGTGCATCCTAACTGGAGTCGAAACAGTATCAATTTGGCACGATGAATTAATGCGAAAATGTTTCAATTCATCGATAGACATGCACTTCAGCAATGACGCCACATAAGTTTTCATTTTTGTTTCGTGGCACAACAGACCTACATCATCTATTTTTTTCACGGCATATCTTCATCAATGTTTATTAAGCCTTCGCTAACGGCACAGATAATTCGGTTATACGTGGCAACAGGAGCAGTGGAAATTCTTATCACTTCAATGATGGTTGCGCTAGTTTTTTGGTTGCGATAAGGCTCATGATGGTTTTCACGAGACTTATCGCGGTATAGGTGCAGACTCCATAAAATTTGGAGGCCAATAAACTCAATAATTATGAATCGAAAATTATTAGACGATTTAATGATCATGCAAATTATGACTAATAATAATTGCGATTAATACTAATCTTAATAATTATGCATGGTTTTTACAACGAAATAACATTACGAGGATGCATGCAAAATTATATAGAATCAAAAGCAAGTTTGTTATAAGCAAACTAATGATATAAATACTTGTCATACCTTGCTAATTAATCTTAGATTTATTGACGAACCGAAAGGCAGTCGCGTGTGTTAACGTTATAAAATGACGAAACTTACGAACAGCTTAATAGCTATATTAATTAATGAGTAACTATCTACAAAATTCCATGAACAGCATATTTATTTTACGCTTACATTTTTCTATCATCATGATGAACAACTTACTCTCTTTGCTAATAAGTAAAAAATAATCATTAATGAATGTACCAAAATCGTAGAGGTTTTACAGAAAATATTTTCGGAAACAGTTAGGTCGATTAAACATTCGTACCAGAATTGTCGCTACATAACAAAATGGCTTATAATTTACTGACTTAGAAAATAGATAGATACAATATACAATAGATGAAGGATGTCACAAGAATGGTTGACTTCTACAACAAATTAAGCTTGGCACAATAATATTTAAATTTACAATAAATGGAGCTTGCCAAAAGAATGGTTGATTTCTACAACAAATTAAGCATGCTACAATAATAGATTATTTTTACAATAAATGAAGCTCGGCACAAGACTAATTGATTTCTACAAGAAATAAAGGCATAATAAACGTTACTAACCTTTATTGAGAGCGCCGTGGGATGCAAAACAACTCTGCCGAGCTCCTTGTCCTCCAGGGCGAGCATGAAGGCGTTCTCTGTGTAGAGCTTCACCTTGACGCTCGGCAGCGGCTGCGCGGTGGTGAAGTCTCCTTGTGTATCCCACCTGCAAATTGACATCAACGTCGCCAAAGTGTCTTATTGTAGCTCGTTAATTGCTAATATCACTATATTAATACGTATTTCATCTATACTATGTAATTAACTCATATTCTTTGCACGAGATTAATTAGCTTACTTATGAATAAATTTAGGAGTAAACACGTATTTTTACGGCACTCAAGGCATTTCACTTGATAAGTTACGTTGAGTATAGGAATTAAAAGAATCATATTCACATGGGTTTGGATGCCTCCGCCTGGTCAGTCTGGAGTTTCTCGCCCCCCTCCACCTCCATGGTGCAGTACACCACGCGGTCCGGGGGCAGCGACTTGAGACCTCGCACCTCCATCACCACCACCTGCCGTAGACAACAAACTAGCACCTAATTGTGTCACTTGAGCCCCGCACCTCCATCACCACCACCTGCCGTAGACAACAAACTAGCACCTAATTGTGTCACTTGAGCCCCGCACCTCCATCACCACCACCTACCATAGACAACAAACTAGCACCTTATTGTGTCACTTGAGCCCCGCACCTCCATCACCACCATCTGCCATAGACAACAAACTAGCACCTTATTGTGTCACTTGAGACCCCGCACCTCCATCACCACCACCTACCATAGACAACAATCTGGCACCTTATGGCAATCACAACTCTTCAATCACTGGCACAGACCTGAAATTTTTTGCTTAAAATGTAACTTTTAGCCACCTATGTGAATGTTAAACTTTCAGTCAAATCGATTAATCTTTTTACAGGAATAAACAAGGCGCACAAATCTTATTTGAACTCAGCCTAGCTCAGTATGGTCAGTTCACCGGTAACACAATAATGTACAACAAAACACGAAATAATCTGAAAAGTCACATTCCACTTAAAAGATATATACAAGGCCGGGGTGTTTTTAACTTCGTTCTCAGCTCACTCTAGGAAATTTTTCCTCTGAAATTTAGAACTAACCTCGAGGATGAAAGACAACACCACGTCCATCTTGGAAAGCGTCACTTCTGTGTCTATTGACTCAGAGTCTCGACCGCCCAGCGAACTTTGGGACCTGGAGGCCCAATGAAGTATCCGGGTAATGAAGTCCCATCCAAATAATTTTTTTGAAGATGTGGGTCCAGGGCACAGATGCAAGGGAGACGTAGGCACGGTGCATTAAAATCCACCATTTGCACATTGATTGTGTAGGCATGTCAGTCCGAAGGAGCATGATGCATTGAGCGACCATGGGAATGCAACAAAGTTGTTGTCAGGTCATTGAACGATCGCGTTTAACGTTGTGTTGGAGAGGAGATTGAAGCAAAGAACAAAAAGATATTAGATTAGTCACAGCTCAAATGACACGATAACTCATTTCTAGCTACTATTACGCAGTAAACATTAACCTAACATATTTTGCCCTTTAATAAAATTTAGAAATTGAAAAGACTTGCTGATGAATAAGGAAAAGTACTTATGCAGAATTGTACTCTGCCTCGCATATCTCTACAGAATCACAAGATAATGATGTGTGTCTATGACGACTGCATTTTATTTTGATCTGAAATGGTATTTGATGCTGAAAACCAAAATTCTCCGATAAATAATGCATTTCATTGTGATGAAATTGAGTAGGAGGAAACGGTTAGCTGGTATGATTATTGTGTGGAAACCTGCATGATTTCTCTTTTTCTCTTGAAATCCAATTAAAACGTTTGAAGACTGAGTTCATCTTACTTCTTCTAGTGGATGTTTAATTTGTTTTCTAAGAACCACATCATGATATATTTTCATTGTTGGAAATAGTTTAATGGAGAGGGACTGCACCGTTGCATCGTTGGGAGGGAATGATGCATATTATACGGAGATTTAATCGTTAATGACATTGAATGACATGGCAGGGAGTCGCACGCATAAAAAAACAGAAATTTGCTATGTGAAGGGAAGAAGGTATGTGCGCTCTAATTTCACTATCTATTGCATATATCATGGATGTAGTATATACATTATCAGTCAATCTATAGAAACCGAGCGATTGTCTTCGATTTTAACACGAGACATTGTTGGCTGAAAAAATATTTGCTCTCATTTAATACAGCATGACGTGTTAAATTTAAATGTTAGTCGGAATTTTATATTCAATATCGAAAATCAATTCAAAATCAATATCAAACTCAATTGCAGTCAAAAATTTATAATCTTCACGTTCTGAATAATCATGAGCTCAATTTTCTGTGAGTGCGAAAGATAAATTTCATCATGAATTATATAGATGAGAGTTCCAAAATTAATTGTTCCAAGTATGTATGACATTAATATAGTTACACAATGAACGTGAGACTAGCCTAGAAATTATTTATCTATTCATTTGCACAGTAATCGAATTATTTTAATATCAATAATTATAAATTATAAAATTATTTCTTCACATTTAAAACAATAAAATATCTTATAAGCTTCATTTCAAATAACTTACTTTGTATAGTCATTAGTGCACACAACGAACATCTCATTACATCATGCATGGATTCAATGGCCAGACACTCAGCACACTCTTCAATGGTTGTTTATAATACAGACGGTTGTATTACACAGGGGATGTACATCAAAACTCGAACGCGGAACTCATTAATTATATTGCTGTTGATCAAGTTGAACACTCTAGCAACATCCACAACATGATATTATTTAGCGAACATTACACGTTTATTGGATGGTTAATTTCAAGGACTGGCGAAAAGGCTGATAAGCTGTGTCTTTATGCAGTCAAAACTGGACATGTCGGCAGACGTTTTCGTGGATGAGCATAAGCAAGATGTCATGCTATTAAATGGTATCATATTTCGCTATAGATGCATTTATGAAATTATCCACTGACCGTAAATCACATACCAAAAGCATAGGATTACAACAAGCAGCATGCGGAAGCAGGAAACGAATTGAGCTCGGAATGCGCAATCATGCTCATATAAACAGCCGTAGGAGGGAAGAGAGGGTGTTAAAAGAAGCAAGGAAGAATAAGAATGTGCGAGATATACCTCCACGCAGGACCCTTCTCATGATATAAACAATATAAATTCTTAGATTTGTAACTTAGCAGAATGGAGTTGGACAACGACGATAGCGAAGCTTATGTAGCAAAGAAATCAATGAGGAAAAATTTGACGGTTAAGATTTGTGTTTACGGAAAAATCGTCGAAACAATACCTGCGTTAAATAGCCCGGTTTGAAACTCTATCATCAGATATCCATTAGAGATTTAAATTTAATAGTGCGAAACGATTGTGTTAGATGAATTTGGTGACCCCGCACAATTATTGTCTCGCTTGGTCGATAAGAGACGGAATTAATTCCCGTTTGGGAAGCCTCTTCAATATTGATGAAGAATTGATGCGCCTACGGTCGACAATCCAGATACGGTAAAGGGTGCTTCTCTTAAGTGGCTAGAAGCCTAATAATGCCTGTGTTCAATTAACTTGCTTGGCGTGGGAATAGAAGTCAGATGGACGGGAGCTACTAACGACGCCGTCAATCCATAAGACTTGTTATTATCTTAGTCTGTCTAACCATTAACAATGCATTTAAATTATCATTAAACTCACAATTGCTGTACAAATTGATACAAACCCTCAGATGAAAATGTATTTCTAAGCTACCAACTCGTCCACTTAAAAGTCGTCGTTGCACGGGAAGCGAAGAAATCCATACAAGAGAGGCCCAAAACTCCGTGAAGAAACCAACAAATAACTACACAACCCCAGAACACCACTACCCAGAACTACACAACTGTTCATAACCAAAAACCCAAAGAAAACACCAAAAAGTTGTTGAAGCTTCAAATAAGGCTTGCGATCCTAACTTTTTAATATCGATAGCTATGAAGAAGTCAAACTAATGCTATAAGATGATATGTATGCTATAGATATACATGTCATCATTGAAAATGACATGAATCAAGAGTCGTGGTAACAATTAACGGAAAAAATTTTTGGTTCTGTGCCTGTTCTATGGGTGCCATGGGTACATTATTTCAAACATTTATTTGTGAATATTATTATATTATATTACTTATTGCTGAAATATCTGTGATATTTCATATCACTCGAGATCTGTGCCATATTTAGGCCCAGTATTACGTCACAGAAATTTACCTACGATGATATTAATGAAAATTATTGTCAAGCTTTTACTTCCATCGGATTCAATCAAGACTCAAACTTTCATGGCTTTCATAGTGTTTCCGTACTTGGAATATAGGTTATCGATTTCCTCGGCGACTAAATTTAACAGTGCTGACAAAATGGACCTACTTTCATTGTATTTCTGCATCTTTACTGAGATTAGCGGCTTGAAACGATCGATGCAACTGACACCAGGAAAGGCATGAGTAGAGAAGAGAGCACAGTAAAAGTCACGAGGCGACTCAATGCAACCACAGGCACGGTATAAACCAGGATACATAGAAAACAGTCCGCACACAAACGAAATATGTACACGAAAACAGATACGCAACTTTAAACGAAACGAATATTATTTTAATGAAATAGGAGATAGACAAAGCATTTTGCAGTAGTTTGTTTACTAGACACTGCAGTTCTTATATCTGAGATATTTGATTGATTATTCTAATCGCTCGTGGACAGAGACAGGCTGAAGGTTCACTGAAATCATTTAGTTCATTTTCTATATTGTTCGTTCTACCCCAAAAAATATTTGAATTGAGCGACAGTGAACCACGGAATCCAGTTAATTGAAATGTGAAATTTATAGAAAATAAAAATTTTCATATATTAGAATATTTCGATATTGAATATAAATGCTGTGCACGCTGAAATCAATAATACTTTGCTTAACAAGAACTTCTATTAGCATATTTGATCCTCTTCTGGGAATTTATTCTCTCAGGTTCATCCTGAAGCATCATTATCTTAATATATAATGCTACTTGAGTAGCACAAGTAGCAGTATTCTTAATGCTACACTGTAGTGTACATTGTACACTGTAGTAGCAATAAGTGGCATACTTAATGCTAGCTGGAAAATTAGGAAAATTTGTAGAAAGTACAACAGCCGGGATGAAGGAGGGAACAGTCACGGGTTATACCAGTCGAGAACACGAAACTTTGGTTCGTAGTTCAACACGAAGGCAGGTAAAACGTTCAACAGGTGAGTGGAAAATGAGTCAAGGGTTGACTGATACTGGTTGTTCGCTCTGATAATCCGTGTATACTTTTTGAGTTTTAGTGAACATATAAAACGGAAAACCTAAGTAAAGAAGTATTTACAGTTGTATTAAAGAGAGTAAAGTGAAAGATATTAATCTCAAAAATACAAACAAAGAACGTAAATGGTAGAACGTATTAAAAAAGAATGTAGAGAAAGAAAATTTGAAGTTAAATCGTATGGACTAGCAGTTGTGTAGTGAAGTATACCCGATAAGTGTATACCAGGGAGTGCATCTTGAATGCAGTAGAAAATTGATATATGAAATAATGAAGTATTTTAACGCAAGAAAGTGAAAGGCGCGGGTAAGAAGGTAGTCTGGGAAGTGAGATAATAATAAGAGTACATGGACACGATGCCAGCCAAGGATCTCGCACTACACAAAAATGAACAGGCTCTTTTATTCATTTTCTTGCGACTGCAGCCCAAAGCGGCTTTATTTACATTATTCCACAGAACTGCAGAAAAAAAAAGTTCACTGAGAAATGTTAAAGACACGAATGAACATTTCATAGCTTTTAAGAGCCTGGTCAGAATGGTGTAGTATGTAAGATCTAGGAGAGCAGTAAACAAAGTAAACAACAAATATACAACGTGTAGGGGGAGTCCACTGATACAGCGAGCTAGTGGAGCCACCTGCCTTAGGATCGAGTTCCTTCTTCGGCTGAGGCACAACAAAGAAAGAAATATAGTCAGGTTTGAGGGTGGACACACACACGGGCTCCTCAACATGATCAATTTCTGCCATCAGAAAATTTGCCGCCGACCAAAGATTGAATTTATTTATGTTGGACATGCGTAAAATTTTAGTAAACAGGAGCATATAATTCCTCCTAGAAATGAAAAAGT